ACCTATGAAATACGTTGAAATTTTCCTTCAAACTACATTTCGAAACTTAAGACTCGATACTACCTCAGTTCGAATTGAAATTGTTTTTTCAGGTCAGGGTCAGGGACACTGGCTTTATTTCAGAGTTTATTTTTTGCAAACGAATTTAAAGCCATTTGAAAAAAATTTTTTTTATTAAAAGTAAGTGCGCATTTCACCTCCATCTCACCTGATGGAAAGTGATGATGAGGTCGACGATGTAACATGCACATTTAAATAATGCCTGTTCAGTCTCGCCTTGAAAAAGCAGGGAATTCCACTCTCGTGGAAGCGAAACGTTTCGTGCGAATCCTGGGTATTCCCAGATACACATACATATACATATAGCGTATACTACACGTGTTCTATTTAGTTCAGTAGATATTAAAAAATACCTATTGAATACAGCGGCTTTCTTGTAAAATTTTGAGATAAGTTTGTGTTTTTTTTTCTATTGTGACAATATTTAGGACGCATGCTTTCACGCCATATACTAATCAGTGTACATCCTCAATTTTACCATATATTTTTTCCAAAATGATTGATTCAGCACTGTCACCGTTATGCGGAATCAACCAAAGCCATTTCAGGTTGTATAAATAAATAATAAATAAATAAATAAATTACGCACACAGTCAACATAGCCCCGCACTAGGGAAACCCTGTGTCGCGGGTGCCATGGACACACACATAGACAACCACAAATTACACCCAAACTCACATGTATATACTCTTAACATTATTATTTTGTAAGTTGGAGCGGCTTGGAGTATTGCAAGTTACAATATCGGTGGTTGAGTCCCGTATACGGCTTTTTTAATATGAATTTTTCAACGAAAGATACTTTTTCACTTTATATTGTTAGATAGATAGATAAAACGTTTGCTCAACACAAGTGCAAACAGAAACAAGCATTTACAATCACTTCACAAAGCATAACACAAAAGCACATAGAATATAAATTAGTACACATTGACATAGCTGCCGTCCGCTAACGAAAACGGCTAAGTGGCTAAATATTTTTTTGAGATATCATAAAAAACCATAACCCAGTTTTAGAATATTGAAATTGTTAAATAATTTAAATTGGACGGCAGATAGACTTATACTGTGAGAAAAAGGAAATTTTATACTGCTTATACCTATTTACGACAGTTTGTGACCGTGAGATGTCAAACAGTGCTGGTTTTTTGCCAGTACCATACGATGAACGATCGCAACCTAAGTAAGCCATAGCACCAAAGCGCATCATACGCAAATACATACACCTATGTGTTAATGCGTGTGCTTCATGTAATAAATTGTCAATGTTCATTGTTGTCTTAAGGCACAATTTTAATGTGTTGTGTGTGAAATACCTAATGTGTTGTTGTTAATAAAGTGTATGGATAGATTAACAGATCACGAAATCACTATGCACTTTGCATACAGTCGGAGGTAATCAATCACCGAGAATACTCTGTGATTGATTGATTGATTACGCATTGTTCAATGTGTTCCTGTATATTTATTCTGTTTTTAGTTATTCCCGAAGTTTGTTTTGTGCTGTACAAACAACTTGTGCCAATCAAAGAAATTGCGAAGCACCTGTATTATTATGCTATCAGATGCAATCAGGAAGACATCCCAAAATGAATTTGACAGATTAGACATTTAAGTTTGTTTAACACTTTTCTTCACACTTATTTGCAAAGAACCAAAAGATTGATTAAGATTTCAGAATTATGAATATAATTCATTATCACTTAATATAATATACCGAGCACGCATAAGTTGCTGATGAATAACAACTCCTAAACATGATGTTTAAAGAACGTTAAGAAATTGCTACACTTCGTTTCTTTGACTTTGCTACAATGATCACGTAGTTTTTGCACTTGAAATTATAATCTATTTATTTATTCATTTGGAACACCAACAGATTACACAGAAAAAATAAGATAAAACGACAACATTTGGTAAGGCACAGTTCTTATGTGTAAGCCAATTACAAGTATCACTCGATATATACCCAGATACAAAAATAATAATAAAATAAAAACAATTTTAAATATTAATAACCCAGTACTAAAATTGAAGGTAAATAATTGATTATAAGATCGGAATTAATAGTTGATTTATGTAAATATGACAGTGCAATTGTATTAATTAAATATTTTGTGAAAGATAAAAGAAATAACAATGAAAACCATTAAACAGTAGGAACACGCAATTAACATTAAAATTTAAAGAAAGAATCATTAAAAATGTCAAGATCAGTTGAATTGCAATTATTAATTGTGTTATAACAACGACACATTGCATGCTTTCTTGGATTTGGTCACAACTAATGATACCATTCACAACCTTCTACAGAAAAAGGAGATCAATAATTTTTCGACGTTCATGGAGAGGTATCATTCGAAAGAACGAGAGGCGCTGTTCATATGGGCTTCTATAAATACCTACTGATGGACTTCTTGACCAACGAATTAATATCTATAGTCTGTCTTTTTTGACAAAATGCGATAAATATTCTAACGACTGAATGTTAGTTATGCTCATGCAACAAATCTCAACGACTCAAGTGATACAAGTTTCGCAACTTGTATCATTTGAGTCATCATCGGCCCGTTATTCGTCCAACTGCTGAACAGTTTCATGTGAATTGTCAATTTTTGTATGTTCATACATATACACTACATTCAGAACTATGTGATTATTAAAAGTGCAAAGAGGAGACATATTTTAAAGTTTTTAATTTTACTTCAATTTAGATAATCAAATTCGCCCGTCTTTATTAAAATGCATATGAATAAAAATTTATCTGTCAAAATTCAGCTGTCAAAATAGGAATAAGGAAGGAAAAAAGCAATAACGCAATTAATTTTTGGCCAAAATTTTACCTTCTTTCACAATCTATCGATAAAACTGTCGACAACAACTACATGACTATTAAAAATTTTATGAACACTGGCAACCCTTCAAATGTCATTTTACTCTGTCTTCAAAAAAGACAGACTATAGAGGGTCGGGTATCTTGGAACATCGACTGTACATAAATAGTTTTTTGTTGATCCAACTACTAAGAAGTACCATTTAGACATGTTATCTTTGATTTATACAGAAAACAGAATAATGGATAACTTTGAATAGCATATCTAGCTGTTCTGGGAAAAATAAATATCATATTAATCTAGACATGAAATCACTTATTTCGAATACGTATATATATAACAAGTAATTTATCTAGATTAAATAATTTCGTGAGTAGACTCCAAATTATATTGATTAACCCAAGCAATTTCGAGTTACATGTTCGTTATAAATTTAATATATCCAGGTGTAAACAAAATTATTATCATGTAAAATTAAGTTAATTCTGCTGACAGGTGCTTTAAACCTGATTAACATTGGCGTATTATTTGATTTGTGTTCGTGTTGGTTCATTTTGAATTCAATTGAGTTAGGCGATTACTGGTTTGTCAAACGAGTACATTATTTCTACTACAATACCTATAGATTAAACAATATATGCACATACACTATATTTATCAAATTGTGAAATTTTATAGTTTTAAGAGTAAGTTGCGGAATTTATAGAGGCATAAGTATTAGATATTAATTCGTTTGTTAGACGCCTGATAGCATGGGATGGCAACGATAAATAAATCTATTAATGGTTTTTATTCGCTGTTTTGCGTTTCTTTATTTCTGAACTTATTACTTGTGAATAAAACAAAATAAAAAAATAACAATTGAAGCCGGCTAATAGCAATATGCTCTTAAAATGCTTGAAATATGCCTATTTAAATAGTACCTATACAATGATAATATATATTAATATTTATATTTACATTCCAATTATATATGTATTTATTATTATTATTTATGTTTACTTTATTGATGAGTAGTGTATTTATTTAAAACGCTCTTATTATAAGGTATTCTTTGGCTGCACCCCCCCTTTCCAACTCTTAAATTTCTATCCTAAGGTTGCCTGGAAGAAATTGCTACTTAGCAATAAGGCCGCCTGTTGTACATTGGCTTACTCTATGATACTTACGTTATTGTTATGTGCTGTCATTGTAATTTTAATGTGCAATAAATAATATTTCATTCATTCATTCATTCAATGAATTATCTAAAAAATTTAAAGAAATCTATTTAAAGCTAAAAAAGGAACAGAAAATAATCTATAATAGCTTGCAGTAATGGCTACCGAATTTAAAAAATATGGAACATGATCGCTTGGTTCGCTTTGTATCTTTTTCGCTATTTCACAGAAATCTTTAAAGAATCCGATTTTATTTCATTTTGAGTAACGTTGCGTTTCGGGGATTTGTTTATTTTTGTTTGATTTATTTCGACGATCATTGAACTGTTATGGTGTTATGTCGTGGTATTATATACATACAAACATTTTTGATTGATGATGAATTGTATCAAACGTTTCTTACTCAAAGGAAATAATAGTATTATGCCACGTTTGTGTACTTTAGTAGAAATGATAACCTAAAATCTTTTGTATGAAAACAATTTAATATAAATTGTTCCCGTTTACTAGGCAAGCTTAGAATAATAATGCATAGAATGATAGTTTCATATCAAACGCACTGTCACAAGTGAGGCAAAAATCAAATTCATGTAGGCTAGTTTTAGTAGTAGGTTAATTTTAGGTTTTAGTGAATATTTATATAAAAATACAAGTTGAAACGCGTTCTTCCTTGTGGAATGTGATGTTAGTATCTATTTTATGTTTGTCTGACGTATTTTTACACTCATTTGCCGCACATTTCGTTATTTTTAGCTAAAATTCTTGAGCTGTTCGCGATGCAAGTTGACCTTGAGCACTGACGGCCCGCCCGCTCGTGTAGGCCCATTGGGAGCGCTTCAATTTGCCTCACTTAGCGTGTGCGGACTAGGCTTCTATGCGTTATTATTCTAAGTAGGCAAGTATGTATGTGCTATTCCGTCTATTCTAAACCGTTACTTGATTTCAGATGGTCAAACCCTGCCCCTAAATCGACGTCAAAAAGTGTTTCCTAACGGCACTTTAATAGTGGAACAAACACAGAGAGCTGAAGACGCTGGAACATACACTTGCCAGGCCATGAACCGACAAAGACATAGCGCTAGAAGAGATGTTGAAGTGCAGATATTGGGTAAGTAAATCAAAATAAAAACCTTCACTCTCTCCCTCTCTTTCTCTCAATCGAACTATAATACCATATAAATATAAAACAAGATGACCGTAAAAAGAATTCTACTTGACTTGAACATTAACAAAATTGTGTTTCTTATGATTATTAAATTAAATAAAAACATGTAATTAAATTAAGGTAACATTGATATAAATATAATTTCATTACTTCGTTTTAAGTAATACAACTGATTCCAAAAAGCAAGGATATACCTACGAGCGCTCTGGCGAGGTTCGCCATATTGGCAGGAGTGCAATATAATGTTGTGATAAAAAATATGATATAGTAGAAGTCCTTATGAAAAATGGCCACCGTAAAGATATAACGATTTCCCGCGACAAAATCTCAGAAAATTAAACTATTGAAGAAAAAATACGATTGATGATCTGGCAGTATGGTCAATTAGACGCCTTAGCCTGTCCCGAAGGATGAATTTTACGACTACTACTGAAGTCTATAATTTTGTTTTCACATTAAGTGACCGAATAATGAAAGCAAATATTATATGCATTCAGTACACAGCAAGTATTTTATGTTAAAAATGAAACGCAGCAGCAAAATAAAAGGTTTAAAATTTAAACCACTTTATTTTTAATGTATAAAGCGCAGTTCAACTACGCATTTTAAGATAAAACTTTGTCCACAACATAAAAGCGAAAAACAGAAGTTCCGCTTGCTGTCAAACTAGAATTTCGGGCATAATCTTTCTCATTTTCTGTGCTAAGATTTAAAGCGCTATAAAATCACGAATTCAAGAGGGGCGGAGTTACTCATCCGTAATTCATTAAAGTTAGCGCGTTCACCATTCCCGCGGCATCTACGAAGCGTTAACTTCCAGCTTTTCCCGGTTAATAGGGCAATAAAATAAAAAATATATACAGAAAAACTGAATGGAGAGCACAAGGGAACCCCGCCGACCCGAAGGTACTTGGAATCGAGCCATAAACAACCAGCGGAAAGATTTCACATTAATTAACATGTTCTTGTGTGAGCAAAATTTGATAGAAACGATGAAAGTTTAATCCTATGATAAATCGGTAAAACATTTAATGTTTTCCCACAGGCATATTAAACAAATAAAGTTGGAACAGATAATAAACATAATTTAAAAATTTACAGTAAAAATAAACCACAAAAAAACTTTAAACACATATATGAACATAACAGTTTATATCGAGTTCTTAGGTTTTCGCGATTGTTACACATAGGAAATGAAACTTTTTTTCCGGATTTAAATCGCGTATATTTGTTTTTTCAAACAAACCGACGTTTCGGGCCCTTTACAGGTCCCATGGTCACGGTTGACATATAGAATAACAGTTTATAACTAATTAATGAGATAACTTGTATTTGCTGCAGTAAGCCAAAATATCCGAGCGCAATGTGAGTTTTGCGAAAGAGTTTTGTTTTCAGCTGCTTGGCATCACCTTTGATTGAAGCAGCACGATGCGGTGCATCAACAGCAAAATAAAAATAAGAAAACGTCTAATGTGTAGTAACGTGAGTGTACGAATGTGTAAGCGTTAATCATAGAAAGGTCATAAAATGGAGCATAACAAATAAAGGAAAAAAAAGTGTAAAGTTAATACTTAAATTAGTAACTACAAAATGTTTACAGTTGCTATTTTTTTAATTTTGTTTTATACCTATATTCTATATAACACTCACGTCGGTACTAACATATATGCACACTTAGAATAACAACGCATAGACTGATAGTTTCATATCAAACGAACTATCACAAGTGAGGTAAAAATCAAGTTCATGTAGGCTAGCTTTAGTAGTAGTTTAATTTTCGGTTTTAGTGAATATTTATATAAAAATACAAGTTGAAACGCGTTACTTCCTTGTGGAATGTGATGTTAGTATCTATTTTATGTTTGTCTGACGTATTTTTACACTCATTTACCGCACATTTCGTCATTTTTAGCTAAAATTCTGGAGCTGTTCGCGGTGCAAGTTGACCTTGAGCACTGAAGGCCCGCCCGCTCTTGTAGGCCCTTTGGGAGCGCTTCAATTTGCCTCACTTAGCGTGTGCGGGCTAGGTTTCTATGCGTTATTATTCTAAGTATGCACACTACATTAACTTCACAATGTTTTTGGTTTTGATGCACCGCACCGCACTACCCTCGTATGTGGTGCCTGAAAATAAGTGCTTTGCTTTTGGGCAAATTTCGCACTAAGCCACTACCTATTTGGCTTGCTGCAGCACACACAAGCTGTTGATCATTAGGTTAGTACTTTGTTTGTATATATTTTTTAATTTAATTTCTTGTTTTCTTTTGTTGTTTTGGCTTCTGTCCCACTGAGGACAATTCTGCCAGGGTCCGGGTTGAAGGATACACGGTTTATATCAAGATTGCCAGGAACGCACTCAAGCGACGATGACAATTCTTTATTTTTTTCTTTAATTTTGATTTCTTTGTGTTTGTTTCTCTTTTAATCCATTTACTGTATTATATTGTTGTGTGTGTGATGCAAGACAATAAATGTTTTATTTATCTATCTATTTAATTTAAAAAAATACAATTACAATTATCAAAATAAATACAATAAGATCAAAGATTATCATTTTAGAGGCTTACGCTATAGGAAGCGTTATTATGTATATTAATTCTCAGGATCATACTAAATGGAAGGCTGTGGTATCCAAAAGGGCATGCAGTAAATGTGTTATACTATTTATATTATACTATAATTCGACTAAGAAATAATAAACTGATTTTATTACCATTTACAGTTCAACCAAAAATTTTGCCTATTCAGCCCTTGACGAACCTGTTACGGGAAGGGATGAGAGCGGCAATTTCGTGCCAGATTCTGGAAGGTGACTTACCCATAGCGTTTCGATGGGAAAAGAATGGACAGCCAGTGACATCATCGCCGTACGCTCCCAATGGCATCATAACAAGAAGGATGGACGAGTACAGTGCGTCACTGGTTATTGAACATATCACATCACTTCATAGTGGAAATTATACATGTATTGCTTCAAATGTTGCTGGATCTGAGAGGTTTACTGTACCTCTAACTGTCAATGGTGAGTGCGTTAACCAAGCCGAACATCCAAATCAGGGTTCTCAAAGGATGGTTTGAAACTGAAATTTGTCTGCAGTTCCTCCCCGATGGCGATTAGAGCCAAACGATGTGGCTGTAGCAGCAGGTCAAGATGTAACTCTTCAATGCCAGGCTGATGGCTATCCAAAACCCATAATCACTTGGAAAAAGGCAGTTGGTAAGTTGAAGTATCTTATTTGCCAAAATCGGAGATTGAGTTTTTTAAACTTCTGTAATTTTTTTTATCTATTTAAACCTTGGGCATCTTGTCTTAAAACAAAAAATCTTTCAGCTGTCTTATAATTTATTACCTCGTTTATTATACCCTTTATGACATGCCATTTCTACGGCGACAATTTTGTTAAATTTACGGAATTCCTGCGTTCCCGTAATTTGTGAAAAAATCGCAAGTATAGATCACGGCCGAAATTAAAAGCTGACGCTGATTAACCTTTTGTCCGCCTACTGAATCGATGAATAATTTAAAGCCCCCGTTCAAAAGTTTGTTTTTATCAGATTCGAAATATAGGTCTGTCTGGCACACTTCAACTAAATTAGAATCTTTCGTGCTCGTTCAATTCAGGACTTACGCGAAAACATCTCAGTTAATTGAGTTTCGTTATATTTCAAACAGGGAATACCCCAGGAGAATACAAGGATTTCATTTTCGAAGGCAGCTCTAGAGTTTTAGAGAACGGGTCATTAATTTTCCAACGAGTTGCTAAAGATGGCGAAGGTCATTATCTATGCGAAGCAAGAAACGATATAGGCGCAGGGCTCAGCAAACTCATTTTCCTCAAGGTCAATGGTAAGTAAAAACGTTTTAATAATAACTTGGGGACACATCTGTATGTAGAAGTGCCATTTCCAAAACATAGAAAATGCCAAAAGGATAATTGTACCTGTTTACTCCTGTTACTTTCGGGTGTTTTATAGACAATGGCTGACTTACGCGAAAAAGATGACTTATAGCTATTCTGTACGCAAATATCAAGGGATAAGCCTTCGGCTTATAAAGTAAACATTTATTTTCATAACGTGCTAATATATGTAAGCTATTCATATTAAATTGCTTTATTGCTATTTTGTACTTTTAACCACTATGTTACGCAGGGGTAGTGTTGAGTCGTGGAAAAATTTCCATTTTGAAAACATCATATTTTTCAGAAAAGTAAATATTTTCCCATATTTTTCTACGTTTGACAGTGACATCTGTCAAAAGTTGCACAAAAGTTAACTTTATTGTGAGAATTTGTGAAAATAAACCAAGCTGGGTTTAAATTAACTAAAACATTGTTTATGCAATTCTATTTTATAATTCGAGCTAAATAAAATTTTACAAGATTATATCTAAACGTAGAATATAATATGACTCTACGAATTATATTTTTACAATTTTTCTGATTTTTCGTGAAAAATTTTCGCTATTTGAAATTTTTCTGAAAATTATCAAACACTTCGTAGAGGTGGCATCAGTCACGTACTGCTTTTTGCGCCGAGTGTCGATCAGGGAAAACTAACAAACTTCGCGCACAAAAGTATCTACTAACATCACAAATGCGTGTTGCGGTTTTCAAATAATTGTGTGAGAAGAAAGTACTTGTACACTACGAAGATAAAGTTTGGCACTTTTAAAAAAATGTGAAGTATTTTCGCTATTCAACAAAAGACTGTACAGCATGACTTGAATAGCGAAATCCGTGTTTATACTCTAACACAATAAATGTAGGATACAGAAATTTTCCTGGTACTATAATAAGCAAAGCAAATTCCTTCCTATAAAAAGCGCATAAAGAGAAGTAGTTGGCTCCTTTTTGTCGAACCGCTCTGAAAACTTCTGGAATGCCTTGATGGAGTTCGAGTTTCATTGGAGACGCAACCGTACTTAAATGAAAATTCTTTGCAGTAATTAATACGCTACGCGTCTTCCACGATAAAAATATAAGTCATAAAAATTTGTATGTATTCGTAAAAGTATTATTTTTCCGCTGTCTCAATACAAAAAATTTTGCTTTACACGTAAAAGAAGCTTCAAGAAACAAAATGTGCTTCGAACTCTCACCACGGGCGATAAATTTAAATGTAAACAGCAATGTTGTTAATTTCCGGATATAGTCTGAAAGAAGCTCGCGTTTAAATTTGTCGTTATTGCCTGTGTTATACCTATTGCGTACAGAATATAGGTACTGTGTTAACACAAATATAGTTAAGTAGTTATTCAGAAAGTTGAATGCTGATAAGCAATAACGTGTTCATTGTTTATGCAAAAATGGCACCTAAAGATTTTTTTGGTTGTTTTTGATAGCTTCTTCGAAAATCTATTTGTAAAATGAAATTTTTTGCTGTTTTCACCTCAGAAATGATTAATTATAATGGTTTGACTATAATTCCCCAACAACAATAATAGTTTTCCTTTTACTGGTAAATTTAGAGCAAAGTACCCAAAACAACAAAAATATCTATAAGTACAATTTTCGCCAATGTACTATCATGTGTATTGACACGTTAGGTATAGCTTATCACCATCCAATTGCCACAAGTGCTCATTTTATACTAAACTTGTACACTAAATTATATATATAGAATGGTTAACAGCTTCATAACGTATTTGAAAACAACCATACAAACAGATATCACGAGGTTACGACCACCCTCCGTTCGTATATTTCCTATAATGGCCACCTAATGCTCTCCAACAATAATAATCTTTCGAGTCACGGAATGTCGGAAACTTTCCTGTAACTTTTATACCTAACCGTACCTCTGTTGTACTTCATTTAATTCTGTAGAATACCGCGATTCGACCCGATAACTCGACCAAATTGCTGAACTGGCAGCTCTCTATTGTGCCTTATAAAATTAAAGGAAGTCCATTTTCCCAACAATTTGCTACATCTCTGTTGAGTTGTTGGTACAACTATTACTCTTGCTTTTGCAATTACGTGGAGTAGCATTTATATTCTTAAATGTAATACTATAAACATTTGAATTTAACGCAAAAATGCTCTGTAAATAGACTAAATCTATTAAAGCTTTCTACTATTTTATGGCGCCCAACAAGGGACTTGCAATCAACACTGTAAAGTCTTAAGGCGGGTTGAAGTGAAAATTAAAGTCCCAAGCAAACCACTGGAAAGGTAATAAAGGATACAATGTATTTGTGCTTTATTCGATTGTCGGCCGAGCACGAGTCGAGCGCGTCTGAGCAGAAAACTCAATGACCGTACGTCGCAATACGTCTCCTCTTTATTGGAAAACGAGACAGTTGGCTTCCACTAGAATAAGTTCCGCGTGTACGTGTTTGTATTTGTCGATATTGGCTTTTGTTAGGAAGCAAATATCAAAATCCAATAACAAGTGAGGACAGTTAAAGCGTAAATAGAGCAGAACCATTTTTTTAGTGCTTATTATATTACATTTTGTTGAAAATTAAAGAAAGTAAAAGAAATTTAAGAATTATTGCGAAAGTTATATTTCTTTCTTATAAATCACAAGTAGAGATACAACTGTAAGGGTTAGGTATGATTTGCGGGGAAAACAAAGATCTGATTTATGTAAATTTCTATAACTTGTTAGGAGCGCAAACAGCCATAGAGGAATTTCTTAGTGCGATTCCCGTGAATCCCCCTTAGACAGTCACGTCCGTGACCGGTTTGTAAACTGTTCCGCCTCCAATAGTAATCGTGTTTCTACTACTTTGGCTTTATTTTAGTCCGACACTGTTTCCATCAAATTTTGGCTTGAAACACTTGAGTGAATTCAGCAAAGTGGAACTTTACCAAGCTTTTCTCTTAACATTTTAGTAACTGTCGATATCGCTTCACGCTTCACTAAGTTTCATGTGAAGCAATAATGGCTTCAATTCGCAAAACATAATTTTAGGTAATAAAGTTTTAGACGATAGCGGTTTCACGAAAACTGAATACAAATGCGACTTAACGTGGCACATAACGTTTTAATAAAAGTTGTGAATCGCAAGAATGTGAGGTTTTCAGAAAACAAAAAAGGTACAAAGAGGCCAATAAGTAAGCCGAACAACAAGAGCAGGGAGACGCTCTGTGCCGCCGATTCTAGTAAATCTTTCTAGATCCCTTGTGTCCACGTCCACACAAAGTTAATAATATTTTCCGAGGAATTTTCTTTCAAAACAATCTGGGGAAAACGATGAGAGTTTTCAAGGGTCAAATACTCAACGAACCACTCTTAGCTGTAAGTAGTATAAAAAATTACACAATAGGGTACTGGTAGTCTTTGTGCGTGATCTACTTACAAGCTGTTGACTTACGTATTATGTTCCTAACTCCCTAAGGCTGCAATCCCATCAATGTTGTGCGAGATAGCTAGGCGGTGCTAGGATGAGTAGCGGATTCTTTTCAGCTGTCTCACATTCCTCGCTTGCATACCTCACACACATTACTCGCACATATTGCACGCACACATTCCTCGCTCGCATCTCTCGCACACATTCCTCGCACACATCTCTTTCTTTTTTGTATGTACAAATACTTAGCTTCGCCAGAACTTTTCCACCAGACCTGCGCTAAGCGAACTAGGAAAATGAAGTAATCCTATTGGTGAGTTTTTTCCTCGCACACCGCTTCGCTACCTCGCACATCTCCAGTGGAATCGCAGCCTAAAGTTCACACTTAACACGTGTATAGTTCTGATCAGAACTACACTGACATCTTATTTACATCCTTATCATAACTAACGTAATCGACATTTTAGCGAAATTAAGCTTGAAACATGTCTGGGATCAGCAAAATGAGATCTACAACCCCCTCTAATCGGTTTTTTAATATCCTATTTAATTTCAGTTTTAATGTTAAGCGAATAAGTGTAATTAACATTTTTTAGGTGACAATAAAACTTTATATATTAGGTGCCAGTATTCAGTATACTTTAGGTGCCAGTATCTCGAAAGTCACCGAAATGCACATTATAGCGTTTCACTTTCATATCCCGTGTAATTTTACATAGGTTTATAGATTAAATAATTAGGTATGTTTTATATCCGATTTCGTACAATGTACAATCGTTTTAAAAACACATATAATTTCAGCTCCAGCTCGATTTCCAATGAAGAGCAAAACAGTGCAAGTGACAGCAGGCGAAGCGGCACATTTACAATGTGCTGCGTCAGGTGATGCCCCTTTAGAAATCAGTTGGCGGAGCCCTCATCACCACACCATTGCTCATCATTTGGACCAGAGGTGAGAGTACAAATCCAGCGTATTTGGAAGTAACTTTATTATATCAACTATCTTCTTTAAGGCACCACATCGTCGGTGTACGGACATTTTCTATAGCATCTTCTTCTCAATATCATGTCTTTTTTTAACTGGCTCTGTAGCCGAACGGTTACCATGCTGGTCCCGGACTCGATTCACGGGCCAGGAGAAATATTTGTATGGCCTATATTTATTTATCTCATGAGTTTCGGTGTAATTTGTAGTGTTCTATGTGTGTCCATTGCACCCGAGACGCAGGGTTTCCCTAGCGCGTATTTGGAAGTAACTTTATTATGTCAACTATCATCTTTAAGGCACCACATCGTCGGTGTATGGACATCTTCTATATTTGTATGACCTACATTTATTTCCCTTGTGAGTTTCGGTATAATTTGTAGTGTTCTATGTGTGTGTCCATTGCACCAGTGACGCAGGCTTTCCCTAGCGCGAGGCTATGAGTGTGTGCGTTATTATTAATGTTATTTATTTATTATATTGATTGTAATAAATATTACAATAAATAATAATAAATTTTACTACCAAGATATTAATTTGGCTTTTGTGAAATTACTCCACTAGTTTGTTATAATTATTAATTCGAAGAACGAACACAAAGAAGAATTCCTTCGATCTGACAGGGCACGCACCTGCGTCTGTGCCAAATTAGGGCGACCGCTCTACTAACTGAGCTACAAATCAAGTCAGTAGACCTTACGAATTTTTCCATGCGTTTGTTACAGATCTTTGTAGTAAAAATCAAGATCTGTAACAACTAACTAGCTACAGACACATAGACACCCAAAAATTACACCCAAACTCACGAGAGAAATAAATGTAGACCACACAAATATTTCTTCCAGCCCAGGAATCGAACCCGAGACCTCTACGTGGCAGACCAGCATGGTAACCGTTTGGCCACGGAGGTAGTTCTTCTTATTTAGTTTATCTATGAAAGTTGTCCGATCAGATCGAAGGAGTTTTTCTTCGTGTTCGATCTTTTTATTAATAATTATAACAAACTAGTGAAGTAATAAAAAAAATAGTTTTCACAGAACATTTATTTTGTTTTGTGTACGCGTTTCGAGATTTTTTTTAATTGACTAACCATGCATTTTCGATAGCGTCTCTCCGAGTGGGTAAAAAAATATAGTTATTACTTAAAACTACTGCTATTTTAGACCGGAAATTTAAAGACCATTTATTGTCAACCTCAAATGTCTGAGACGCTTGCGAATTTCGGTACCTGAATTGTCTTGGAAGGTAGGGAACTTCCGGCCGATTGGTGTTCAAGCCAAACTCGTATTCGTCCATTTACCCGTGACTCGAAAGCAGGGCAATAACCAGCCTTTCACTACTACGTATCCTGTGCAATTTCCGGTCACTTCTTTGAAAGGTGATAGTCGCACCTTCGCTTTGATTTCACACTTACTGAACGAAATCTATTTCCTGTCTATAATAATAAAGGTGATACAAAAGCTACCGTGATTCCTTTGTTCGTAGAACAATCGCTTCCTCTTTCGGCGACAAAATACGTAAACAACAACAACACTATCTAAAGATAAAAATAGAAGCGTTGTTTTTCTAAGTTTAGTATTTCGGGATTTGTAATCATCAAAAGACAATTAATTATCTAAGGTAAGCGTGAATAATTTACGCAGGAATAATATCCAAACCCTAAATTATGTACTAATGTCTAAAATCTGTCAAATTCAGCAAAAAATTGATATTTGTACCTGGACACCTAGGGAACTCGGAATGTTGATGATGTAATGATAAAGGAATTTTCGTGACTTTATGTGAAAATCATTAAATTCAAGAGGCCAACCCTTCGTATAAACTCATGAACAGATCAACACGTGATAAGGGTATCATGTTTCTGATTAGTGGATGGATGGCCCAGCCTAAACTTGGATTAACTCAATAAATTAAACGTGTACATTATACACAGTAGGAAAAGTTGTGAGATTGGACATGGCTGCGGCAGCGAAGTATATCAAAAGCTCGCGTGGTAGTGCAGCACGCAGTAGCGCTGTACGACACCGCGGAACCCCTTTGGGATGCTGGAAAATTTGTCTTTTAGGCCATGAGAGAGGCAAGAGTCTAAAATATATAGATAAACATAATAATGAGAATGATAACTTATGATGATAACATGTGAAAGTTTTGAATTTTGATTTCATATTACACGTTATTAAAAGTTACTTTTTTTTAATAAAAATAAAAATAAAATTAATTAATAATGTATTCATTCAAAAACTAAATACAAATCAATTCATTTAAAAACTAAATTAATTACATAATTCTGTCAATCAGCAACGTAAGCTTCGTCAGGAAGACACAAATATAAATCAGCAACAGGCTTCGTCACTTAAAAATAATAATACTATTCGCCAGATTTAGCTATTTTTATCCAACTAGTACTAACAATGAAAGAGGACCGCTCTGAACCTTAGCCGGTTCATACGTCCCAGCACTGGCAGCATTATGGCTCTGAATAGCCAACGAAATTTGTTGCACCAACTAAGATCCAGAGCGTGGAGCACAGCCTCTATCTCTAAGCCGACGACCCAACTCCCTGATGAATTCTTTGGTTAAGTTTCTTTTGTTTTGAACATTTATAATAATATTAATGTTTTTCATGTTCTATTTTTGCAATAAATGCCTAACAGCCATTGACTTACAATTATATGAACGTCGGGTCTGCGCTAAAAAGTGTCCGAACTTATAGGACGTTAAAATCGTATACAGAGCGTCATTCACGCTTTAGTCTTCGTTTGTTCGACTGACAGCGAAGCAAGCAAAATTAGACAGTACTGCGATGACATTACAATTTAAATCTAACGTTTTAGCTTTTTCATATTCCTTTACATGTCACTACGTTTAAATAGGTCGACTTGGGACGTTTTTTTTTGTGGTTTTTGTATTAGACCCGTCGTCCATTTATTTGTAAGTCAAAGCTAACAGCATGAGAATTGCAAATCGTATAATGTGGTTATTCATTTCAATATACCTGATTTCAGATATACGATTAGAGAGCAAGTGTTAGACGATGGTTTAGTATCAGAGTTGAGCATCTTGCAGACATATAGACAGGATACAGGAGCATTGACTTGCAGAGCCTCGAACACATACGGTCAAGATGAAATGCTTATACATTTAGTTGTTCAAGAGGTAAACAACCCCTGTTTTGTAATATTGGTTAGGTTTGTCTGATCTTGTTGAAATCCATCTTACGACAAACAACATTTCATACTTTGCTTTTATGAAAAATCACGTTATAATAAACAACCCAATTAAAACTTCAAAGTTTTCTTTTAAACAAGTCGACATTTTTAGGTACCAGAGATGCCGAAAAACATAAGAATAATAGACCAACAGTCTAGATCTATACAAATATCGTGGACACAACCGTATGCTGGAAACAGCCCCATTATCAATTACATCGTTCAATACAAGGAAGCACCAGGTAACTATCACCGCGTTTAAATTACTGACTAACTTATTAAATCCTTAATTTTAGTAGCAGTAGAGCTTGTGAAAGAGTTCGTCCAGGGAAGTGCTGCCGCCTTACCTATTTCTGCAGCCAAGCAGTAATGTGAGCATTACTGCGTTCCGGTTTCGAAGGGTAAGGGTGCTGGTGAAATTACAGGCACATGGGACTTGTCAACTTATGTCTCAGGGTGTCCCAGTAGCAGTGCCCCTCAGAACTTTTTGATTTATAACTCCGTGTGGCACTATTAGGGACAGGCATGTCGCTCCAGGCACTCTACTTGTTCGTCCCGTCACTTATAAAACAAAAAAAATCCGTGTGTGTACGCCACTTATTACATAGAAGTTGATATATAACAAAATGTGTAAGTATCGCACTTATTTTGTTAAGTAATAAACGTACAACTTCTATATAATAAATAAATTATTGTAAACAGTATGTCGAATGTCTTCCAGACACGGTTAAATTAAACTTTGTGAATGTTAACTTTTGTAAAACCTGTGTTTTCATAAATAAATTAATTCGAATGAATTGTGAGTAACAAAGTATCACCCTCATTTTATGTAAATGAAGGTGAAGGTTTCGTTAGACTTTCCTATGAGATAACTGATATTTTTTTAAGCCATCACCATACTTATTAAAGCGGAATCGGCTTGAGCCTGTATCAAAAAGCTTTATGTCCATACAATAAGACGGAAAAAAGACGTTGCGCGGACCGACGAGACGAAACGCACGTCTTCTTCGCTCTTATTATTGTTATTATTAGTTTTTTCTTTTTATGTTACCGAGTGATGGGACAGAGAAGTTCGGCGCCTGGTGGCAGACGCCAATCCATAGCAGTTACACTGTCACTCAGAAGTTTAAATCTCAAATATCTGAGGCGCACTGCTACAGCTAAACAACTCTTTTATGGGGAACTGTATACGTTTTTACAATAAGATTCCGGAGCATATATTAAGTTTATCATTTCCTAAGTTTAAAAACTACATTAAAAATATTTTGATCGAAAAATCATATTACAAAATTGAAGACTACGTGTTAGATAAAGATGTATGGAAAGACGACATGGCTCCAGAATCCACACAAATTTGATCCAAAGTGTATTCCATAGCATTTAAGTTTATTTGAAAAGAGCAATCCCTAGAGTTTCTTGGTCGTTCTTCTCAGGGAGGTCAGCGTAGTGAACGAGCAGTAGCTTAAATGTGACGTTTTCAGGTGTACATTTATTTTACCTATGGAATAAATAATCTATGACTTTGAATTTGACTTTGACAGGGCCCGTCACCCTGAGACATAAGTTAACAAGTCCCGTGTGCCTGTAATTTTACATCTCATATTACTGCTTGGCGGCAGAAGTAGGTAAGGTGGCAACACTTCCCTGGACGAATTCTTTCACAGACAGCTCTACTACAGCTACAATTTTACAAGATAAGTAGGGCTTGTTTAATATTTCTGCATATAAATGTGATTCTAAATAGAATTTTAATATACGTATAATAATGAATTTCATAGCCGATTGTGTAATAGCTAAAATATTTTTAAACAGTGGATATTGAGCCTTTTTCGGAGTTTACAATATTTTTTCTATCTTTATCTAAAGATTTCTCAGGCTTTCAGGCGTTTAAGGTAACACTTGCGATTAAAAATTTTTGCAATTAAAATACGTTTTTTGCCGCTTTGTTTATAGTAAACGACTAAATTGTACTAAAATTACGTGGACATACGCTTTTTCTGACGGGCTTAATGCGATTCCGTGTCGATAAGTGTAATGGGGGTCATTAAAAAAAAATTAAGCGGTCAACTCACCGGTCCGAAGCGTGAAATTAACTGTTCAACAAATCGTTCACGCAATACCCATCGGATTTCTTCAAAAACGAGAACCGGTAAGTTGGACGCCTAGATCTTGTGACATCACAACATAGACTTATTCCTTTGGGGCTATGAAAAGTCCAAAATCTATACGGATAAGCCGGGTACGATTGAGCAACTGGAAGCCACCATTACTCGCGTTATTCGCCAAATACCAATCGAAATGCTCGAACGCGTCATCGAAAATTGGAACTGCAGAATGGACCACATTAACCGCAGTTACGGCCAATATTTGGAAGAGATAATCTTTAAAAAATAAATGTCAAGAATGGTTTTTTTATATGATAATAAAGATAACCCGATAAATTTGTTTTTATTACATTTTTTTCAGTTTTGAAAAAGTACCTCCAAATGAATCACCCGTTACTAGCGCAAACCTACATTAGCTCAGCAGTATGTATAGACTAAGACCTAATGCATAGGTATTATCTATTCAGTTGCAAAAATCACATCGATTTAAAAAATAATAATAATACTGTGACTTTGAATAGCATCTAATTATGTTGATACATGTTGAACTACACAATAATCGTCTCATAATGATATTTATCGTAGATTCATGGCCATCGACACCACAAAAAGTGATAGTACCAGGCAGTGTGACGTCAGCAAGCGTCCAGAATCTTCAACCGGCCACATCGTACCACCTTCGCATTATCGCTGAGAATCGACTAGGCCAGAGCGAACCAAGTCAACTTGTTCAAGTAACTACTACGGAAGAAGGTATATTTATTTCCTGGAAGAAGCATTCCTTCTATCTACATTTTTTCATTTTTACCATAAAGCAAATATGCAGAATATTTATAATTATTATCCACGGCACGGACAAAATGGTGGATATAATGATATTCTTTACCCACACACTGTTTTTCCGTTGCTAGTCACGATCATAACTCTATCCTAAAGGAAAGAAATTAATCATAATTCCAAAAAAAATTGTGATGGTACCACCTACCGTAATAAAATAGATGAAAATGTTAAAATTATTTTCAGTGCCCAGTGGTCCACCACTCGATGTTAGAGTTGAGGCGAAAAGTTCAACCGAACTGATTGTAAGTTGGGAACCTCCACAAAGAGATCTGTGGAACGGAAACATACTGGGATACTACGTTGGATTTCAAGAAGTAAGTTTCTCGTACAGTCGGTGAATAACTAGATTTAACCTTTATTCACTCACGTGACTCGGAAGCTCGCATTCATTGACAGAGAAACTTAAAATAATGAATACGTAACTACCCGATAAAGCTTCTAGTAAAACTATCGTCAGGTATGCCAACAATACACCATATGAACCATTTATACATAACTAATAAGACATCTAAATGGATGAATGATGGTGACGAAACGAAGAAAAAGAATATTTAAACCAATAAACCTGGAAAGACTATGGTTTCCTTGGTTAGTTATGGTGTGGTACCAATTGAATCAATTGAATCTTCCAAAGATTTCAAATTTACGGAATCCAAAATCCCTTTTTCAGCTGAATAGCAACAGCTCAGTTCTAAGCGCAAGCGGTCCAGGCGGAGCGTCCTACACGGTCAGAACAGTCGAAGGTGCAGGCACAGCACGCGCTAGGACCACTCTATCAGGACTGCAGAAGCACACAGCGTATGCAGTTGTCGTTCAAGCGTATAATAGCAGAGGGGCTGGACCTGCCTCACCGCCTACTACTGCTACAACTATGGAAGATGGTAAAAGAATTTCTAAATTAAAGTCAAATTTTAAATATAGCCATGAAGAAAAACCGATTACAAACTTAACAAAGGAAACACAATCATGGCAATCAGTTCTTAGTATCGGTCAATTGTGAACAAAAAATTTTCTGTCTCAATAACAAAGTTTTCTCGTTCTTGTTCAGTACCAACTTGTAACTTATTGTTACACTTCCAGTGCCAAGTCTTCCACCTGGAGCTCTCCAATGCACAGCGTTGAGTTCTCAGTCAGTTCGAGTGACTTGGGAACCTCCACCGACGAGAGGTCGCAATGGCGTCCTTCAAGGCTACAGGGTCACTTACGCCCCGGTCACTGATTGGTATGGTAAGTTTTCATTTGATTTTCACTACTAATCCCTACTCCAGAATCCCCATTGAATATTATTTAACATCCATCTATCAAGCCACATTTGTATATCATGATAATATGTGGCTTAAAAATACATATACAAAATTTCAGGAAGCGAAGAAGCAGTAACAAAACAAATATCAGGACTTCACACGACACTGTCCGGGCTACGACGGTATACAAACTACTCGGTTACTGTTTGTGCCTTTACTGCAGCGGGGGATGGAGTTAGGGCAGCTCCAGTATACTGCCATACGGAAGAAGATGGTAAGAGAAACTTGTTAATTCAGCAAATCATTTTTCTCTCCAACATAATATATTAGTCCTAGGCTGTCTGCATTTAATAGATGTTCGTAACTTATTCTGGGTGACCTAGCAATCATAACATTCCTACACTGTTCAGAAACCTCTGACCTTTAGGAAACTTTTTTTCATCATCGGTTGTCCGGTCTGGAAAATGGTCTACAGTAGTGACTCCGATTCTGTATATATGTTTTTCAGTTCCATCAGCCCCAGCTGATATAAAAGCAGTAGTATCATCAAGAAATAAGATCTTAGTGTCTTGGCTTCCACCGGCTTCACCAAACGGGGTCCTCGTTGGATATACTCTTTATATGAGCGTCATAGAAGATGGAAGAGAGGTAAGAACTAAATTATCCTTATGACTCATACACACATGCAAACTATGGTTACAGGCAAATACAGGTCGAATGTTCAAGTAATTTGAAAATCACCGTTACACTTCTAGATTAGCAGTTACTAAGGTTTCTGACAGGTACAATTTTACCTTCTAAACACTACGCTACTAGCATCTCTTTCTATTATGCACTCGATAAAGCCAATGGATAGATGTTGCCTTATTTTCAGGAGGGAACTCACAAACGAATGCTATCACCAAGCACATTATCACACGAAACTTCAAGATCTCCTCCACGTGCCACTCACCAATTCTGGGTTTCCGCATCTACTAGGCTTGGGGAAGGAGAGGCTACACGTGTTGTAACCGTATTACCCACAGATTCAGGTAGGATCTTATATATAATTGTAGCTACCGATTGTTTTTCCAAATGCGTTCAATATTTTTTTCGAGATTTAGTCAATTAATCGTATCCAATGTAAGATGTTAGCAATATTTATTTTTATTGAATATTTTATTTAAGTGAAAAGACTCTTTTTGTTATTATTATTAATACAAAAATCGAACAAACACCAAAAAAGTCCAAACCAGTGTTTGTTGTCTCAACGTGGCTACGGATATACTCCTATGGAGATACTCTTTATATAGTTGCGAGCCTCAGAAATGTGGAATCGTGACAGAAGTCTGGAGTTTTCACGTCTCATAATTGAGATGATGTCACTTTGGAATACTATTTTCAATACCAATTTTGTTTGCAGTGCCAGCAAGAATAACATCATTCAGCCGTAGCATCGTTACACCCTGGAAAGAGAACATCTCTCTGTCCTGCAACAAAGTGGGGGTGCCGACACCTTCTACGATGTGGAGTATGAACGGAGCTGCTTTAGAATCTACTCTGAGGAAAAATGTTACAAGCGATGGAACACTCATCATCAGGTATAATTGAAGAAATGGCAGCTATAACAAAAATTGCACCTTTGGTTTTGAGGTGTACCAAATGTTATCTAAATAATGTTATATATATCCATAATATATCTATAATATGCGCTGGGCTGCCACGCACAGCCCTCGTGTCCTATTACCGGGTCGGGAGAAATGTTTGTGTGGTCTACATTTTATTTCTCTCGTGAGTTTGGGTGTAATTTGTGGTTATCTATGTGTGTGTCCATGACACCCGCAATACAGCGTCTTCCTAGTGCGAGGCTATGAGTGTGTTCGTTAAAAAAAATGTATTACCATAGGGCATTGACTTGTAAGTCAATACCATAGGGTATCAATTCATACACACTGTAGTACATATTTAAAACTGTAGATGGCGACATTTACAAATAATAAGTATAAAATGTAAAAAAGAATTGCAAAACTATTTAAACAACATCTTAAATTATTTTAATGTTCAATTAAAATTAATTTTAATTGAACGTTCCAGTTTACTGTTATTGAAAAGATAACAAATCGAAGGTTTCGCAGTGGTATATGTTTTGATTTGTTCGTTTGCAATAAATTGTATAAATGGCATTTTTTAAATTTATTCTCGAAATTAAGTAACGTTTTAGCACTGACTTTTACTTCAAAATATTAAAAGTATAGACTTAGCTTCTTTGCGTTTTTATTAATGTTAATGTATGTTTAATCAGAGCCTAAACAAGATCAATAACCTGGACAAAAATGTAATAGCTGCCATCTGTTGGCCTTTTCGATTATTATTACAATCGCATTGCGGGTTCCAATTGATCAGCATAAAATATCAAATTAAGCATCCCAATCAGCGAAGTTAGGAGAGCGACATTTCTTTGTATGCGATTGGGTGTCTGTACTAGTATAGTATTATAAATTGTCTGTGTGTTGTGAATTTCTATGTGTGTGTCCACTTGCGACATGTATCTATGACACGACATGTGTTATTTATTTATTTAATAAAAACAAATTATTTTCAGCATGACACAATATGCAGACAGCGGCAACTACACGTGTACGGTGGACAATCCTCATGGCCGCGACGAAGTGACATACAGTGTGGAAGTAAAGGTGCCTCCGCAACCACCTGTGTTGGCTGTTGTTGATTCTTATGCAGACTCGCTACATCTGCAGTGGAGCGATCAAGGCGATGGTGGCAGCCCTATATTAGGTAGTACAGTTGATAAGTTCTTGTATCAAAGCGTTTCTGTAGTCACTGTAATTACTTAAAAATCACTTGCCTTTAATGGATAAATGAGACCCAATATTATAATGAATTCAACAAATTGAAGATGTTTAAAATATATTTTCCAAGGGACACTGTTTATATTATTTAGATTGCGTGACAGCCGTGGTAGCCTAATGTTTGACATACCGCCTCTCTATCAGTGGGTCGTGTCTGTGCTCTGGGCTTGCACCTCTTGAGTTTCTCGGAATTTATGTGCGAAACTTAAATTTGAAATTCACAAAGTTTTTCGGTGAATAAAAACATCGGAAGAAAACATTACACATCTGGAAAGGAATTTAAGGATGCATGTGATGTTACCAATCCGCATTGGGCACGCGTGGGAACTAAAGCCTAAGTCCTCTAATTATGAGAGGAGGCCTGTGCCCCGCAATGGGACTATATATTGCCGGTGTTTTGTAGAAAACGCGCAATTTCGAAATTTTTGTTCAGGGGAGCATGTTTTATTGTGTTTCACAACTGTTTTAAAATATTTACATCCTGTTTGAAATACAATTTTAAAACTTAAACTTAAAACCAAAATTGAAATTTAAAACAGGACATAACTATTTTGAAACAGTCTTTAACATGCTGCCCTGAAAAATTTTTCGAAATAGAACTTTCGCCCTTTCTACAAAACATCGACGATATGAGCTAACTACATCATCAGATCATAAATAAATAATTAGAATTCAACTGATACAAATTTCAAAAATGTTTTAAAGTAACATAACTTTTTTTATCACTTTATTTTATCGCTGGGAAATGCGTTACGCATTGAACTCCTGGGCGGTAGTCCCGTATACCCACTAAAACCCAGCGGTTAACTCTACCGCCATAGAGAGGCGCCCCAGGATCCGCTTGCGCATACTACTCGAACATCTCGGCAGAAGGCCCGCAGGGGCCGTGCCCTTTGTAGAGTATCCTGGGGTAGATATAAGGGTACCCTCAAGCTTGGTGGTAAGAGATCCCCGACCCCAAACTTGCATCCATTCAAAATACATAAATCTTTGACCTTTTACTAAAGCAACATAACCCCAAGGAACCTCATTTCAGGTTACGTAATAAACTACAAACGTGAACATGGCGACTGGGAAGAATTACAAGTTGAGGCTGGGACTTCAGAACATGTACTACCCAACCTCTGGTGTGGGACTAGGTATCAGTTGTACATAACTGCTTTTAACCGGATCGGGACTGGATTGCCTTGTGACATTGTACACGCCTATACCAAAGGAACTGGTGAGTTCACTGTACAGAGGTATTAAAGTTCCGAAATTGTAACCAGCCACGGCGAGAGGAGGAATTTCCGCTTCGTTCTGACAATGACGTTATCATAAACTGGCATGATTTCTTAGCATAGTCTAAAATACCAAATAGACAAAACTCTTGTAGATAGAATAGTGATAAACATATGCATTAAAACGAGGAATAATTAACTGGCTGTTGTTACAGTCATTTTCGCAAAGTCACAAATTCATTTAAGGAGAAATGCTTCTATAATAATATTCCGGTTAATATTCAATGTTTGCCTTTGACGAGATTTCACTGTAGTGAAACAAAAACTTTACACTAACGGTGTAAGTGTATGTAAGGAGTACAAATGTGTGTAAGGTGTATTATACAGCTTCTGCGTACTTGGATGACAAAAAAACCACGGTAGTGATCCGTTTAGATCTACAAGAGCTAAGCGCCTCGATATATGGATATTTGAAATAAATATTGTAAATGACAAACATATATCATTTACTCACAAAGAGCAACCCTTGCGTTTCTTACTCACTCTTCTCATGGGAATTTGGCTTACAAATGAGTAGTATAGTTCAATATACGATGTGACAATGTAATTTACATGCTTATGAAACACAGATTATTTGAGTTTGAGCTGGCTATAGTATCTCGCCTCTTTCAGTGCCTGTAAAACCGAAACATTCTCAAATGATAACGCTTAATACGACTACGGTGACAGTATGGTTGGATTCATGGGGTGATGGAGGATGTGGGATTCTCTATTTCGTCATTGAATATCGAGAGATTAGCCAGTCTCAGGTAAGTAGAAATAGAAACCATTTATTACAACGCTACATTATAAAAAAGGCACAAAAAAGTAATATAAATTAAAACAGAAATGAAACAAATAAAACAGCGTAGCAAACATTTAAACAAGTTGTACTATACTAAAAAAATACTAAGCTGACATGAGTGCGGCTGTGGCGTATACGAAAGGATCCCATTCAGCTAAATTCACAACCAAGACTAGGCTGTGACTCTGGTTTTCAACCTAGCCGAGTCGAATGGGTCGCGCCGAAGATCTTGTAACTTTTTGTACAAATGCGGCTGACGTAATTATTTATAATATACTGTTTTCAGAATAAACTTTAAACCTTCTTTTAACACTTTCATGCAATAGTAAACAGACGATATTCCACTGCTGATTGTAAATGCTTAAAGGAGAAGGGATTACCAGGAAGACCACGCATGTCCGCAGGACTAGCAGTGTAACTGAAACTGAAATTTATAAAACGAACTTTGACTTGACTAAGCAAAAATTGCGAGCTAAGCAAGTTTTTCGTATTTACAAAATGAATTTTGCCTAAGTTTAAGAAAAAATTAAATTAAACTTTAACAATTTTTAATCAAAATTGAACAAAAGAAGCTAATTCAAATATTCGAGCCAATCTTCGATACACTCGAGTAATGCCGCCAAAATAGTGCGTCGGGCGGCTGTCTGTCGATCGCTTTTATACCACTTCAGTTGGAGTTTACTTTGATATTTCATGCTCAAAACTTAACAAAGTTCGCTTTGTAAATACGAAAAACTTGGTTAGTTCGCAATTTTAGCTTAGTCGAAATCAAAATTCGTTTCATAAATCTCAGCATAAGTCTTATAGTACTTGGAAATCCGTTGCTGTCCACTTTCTAGATCTGAGTTTCTTAACCTGTGGTCCATAGACCGCTAAGGGGTCCGTGTAGTGAACGCCAGGGTCCATGGCGAACCTACCTAACATAATGCATTAATATAATAATTGGTAAACAATATACGTTGTGAGTATACAGGTACTGTGAGCGTGATCTTTGTGAATGTTCGCACTATTTGACCGCCATCTGTTATTGGACCGAGCGAGACGCGCGTCATCTTTTCGAAAAAGGTCTATGGGCACTTTGAAATTTTGAGAGCGGTCCATGACTAGATTTAGAAGCCCTGTTCACGATGAATCCCACAGACGCTGTGTAAGATTACCCACGAAAAAACTTTGCCCTTGTTATTTAAACGTTGGTATTAATAAATTCCAGTGGCGTCTGGTATCGAACAGCGTGCAAGCAACCGAGCGTGTATTCAGCGTAACAGGATTAACACCGGCGACGCAATACCAGCTGAGGATCACCGCTCACAACAACGCAGGACATGCTGTTGCTCTTTACAACTTTACTACGCATTCTCTTAGTGGCAGTGAGTATACGTTTGTTGCTGCGAAAGGATTGCAACCAATGCACAAGTGTTTATAAAACATTCAGCAGAATTTATGGCGTGATTTTGACCGCCGGTTACCTATAAGAGTTGACAAATATCTGATTCCACTTTATGTTTATGCTGGGGAGATTTTAATTACTAACGGTTTATGCTGTGGGCGCTGGATGCCGATGTCCCGGGTTGGATTCCCGATTCCCGGTTCCCATTACCAATTTCGGAAATGATCTTTATCTAAATTGGTTCTGGTCTGGATTTTCTGCAAAGTGCCCCAGAATGAATTCCGTTGCTTTGGTATTCATAGCACCTACAGGAAATTCTCTAATTTGACACCAGACAGTTTGGTATAGTTGTCTATTATTATTATTATTTTATTATTAACTAACCGCCGTGGCCGAACGGTTACAATGCTGGCCTGACACGTGGAGATGCCGAGCTCGATTCCCGGACCGGGAGAAATATTTGTATGGCCTACATTTATTTCTCTCGTGACGTTCGATGTAATTGTAAAAAAAATGTGAGTGCCCCTGGCACCCGTGATAAACGGTTTCCCTAGTGTATGCGTTATTAGTTATATTTATTTTGCACTCTCGCCTCTCCCATGGCCTAAAAGCTAAATTTTTAATTTTTAAGTGTGAGAGGCGGTATTCCCCTACATTGGCACAGTCAGCCGGGGTCAGGGACTCAGGTTCAAGAACCGGCGAACAATACATGAGCAGGACGGCCTTCTGCATTTGTGCTGCGAGTGACACGCCGCAGAAATCAAATTATTATTATTATTACCTATCTCTATACCAAAATTTATTAAATTAGGACATCATCAGTTTAGGCATGAAAACGTAAAACACAGAGTTACTTCCTTTATAATATGTTTGGAAGTTTGGATAAGCTTTTCATTCCCATTTTTTTTTATTCCAGTGCTAGATAACGAGCTATCGCCTCCTGTACCCGCAGCGGGGGCACGATCGCTAGGTGGCGCTCGCGTCATCTTGCCAGCCGCATTGTCGCTGCTCGTGTTGGGCGCTTTGATTGCCATAGTTCTGCTTGTCAGGAGAAACAGTTAGTTCAAGATCAAACATACTGATAATATTTGTCTATTTATTTATTTAAAAGTTGCTTCAGCATTTTTATACATCTTTTATAAATCTGTTATAGACAAAATAAGAAACTCACTACGTGTACAAAATATGTCATGTTTACAACATTGGTTATAAAAATATATTAAAGTAATTATTAATGTAAAAAAACAGAATTCTTATCTAACTGTACACAACCAATATAAATTGTCGCGTATGTATATGTGCGTATATGTAATGTGCACGTGTGATGATGCGTGGATGTCTATCCATGGTTTTGCAAAACAGACAGCCATCTTTGAGAAAATTTTGAACCATTTGCTTATGGAGCCAATATTAATGTAGAATCAGATTCAGTTTTGGCCGTAGACTCCAAAAAAGGAATTTACTCATGCATGATTGGATGCAGGTTATGAAATCCTCAGATTAAGGTAGGACCTAGCTTTTGAACAAAAAGGTCTACAATTATTTGCCTGTTTTTATAGTACTAAGTGACAGGACGAACAAGTCGTCCACCTGGTGGTAAGCGACACGCCTGTCCCTAACAATTAATTAAGCAGAGCCACTCGGAGCATTAATCACAAAGATCGGACGGACACTGCCACTGCGCCCGACACCCTGACACATAAGTTGACAAGTCCCATATGCCTGTAATTTCACCAGCACCCTTACCTTTCGAAACCGGAACGCAATAATGCTAACATTATTGCTAGGCGGCAGAAATAGATAAGGTGGCAGTAATTCCCTGGACGAACTCTTTCACAAGGAGGTATACTGCTACTAAATATTTATTCTCCAGTTATACAATGAAAATTACTTGATACTGTTTTTACATGTACATACACTACGATTTCAGAAACAGGCGGTACAGAAACGGTAGCTACGGAAAGCGGCGTAGGCGAATCTCCATCAGTAGCGCAATTGCAGAATAAAGTGAACCGCGACCAGCAGTACCTTGCAGCGCGCGCCCAGCACCCCGCACCGCAGCACCATTACAAACATGCTTCGAATGGTGAGACCACCTTTCAAAGTTCCGTTAAAATTGAAGATTATGATTTTAACTTCTAAATCAGCTACTCACACGCCAACTTGAAGTACTTCCACTGGAATATCGTCTATCTTATTTGAATCTAACCATATCCTTGCAGCTGTGGCGCTACTTTTATTTTTTTATCCAGCTTGGCTTGGCCTCTACAGTATGTTGATTTGCATTCTCGCCATAGTTAAGAAATCAATAATAGAAATAATGCTAAATCATGTAAAAATATTTAAAAAATATATTGTGTTCAATATTCTGGCTAATTGTACCTAGTAAAGTTTTGTAAAATTATCCCCAATTGCATACACCGCGGAGGACAGTGACCCCCGCCACGCGCTTTACCGAGCGATACGTAATCTTTCTCGATCGCTAATTTACCTTTTTTTAATAATGTTTATGTACTAGTATTGATATAATTTACTAATTATTAACATTAATAATAAAGGTTTACTGAAAAAAGATTTTTTGTAACTTGGATTTTGTACTTACCAACTTTAGGTTACATGAAAAATATTGTTAGAAGTACTAAAACTAAACTAAACTACTAAAGTAGCTCCACAGCAGATACGTAGAGTACAGATATGCAGAGTATCGTTTCAACTTAGCACATTCTTCACAACAGAAAAAGCCGAAAAAAATCCAGAGACGATTTTTGCACGCAATTCTTCGATTTTCGATAATTCCACTCGTAATCTGCGTAAAATAAACGTTTCTATCGTTATAAGAACGCAGTTGATGGGTCTGGTGAACCTGGTAACGGTTTTTTTTTTGTATTAACTCTTGTTTACATACCAAACCACGGGCATTTCGTGAGAAACTAGAATTTGTGCGCGATATGTTAGCGGAACGTAAACACAATATGCAAGCTCGACTGATGATCTACCAATCACGCGCTCGATACGATACTCCCCCCCGTCCCTACCCGTACCCTACCACCAAATAAATCTAAAATGCATATTTTCTGCGCTTAGGTCATTGTTCAAATGCTTGCCGGTACCTGTGCCACGTGTGCAAGTCAATGGCCTTTGGATCAAGCAAGGTTACCGTAATTAAATAAAAAATAAGAATTTATGAATTTTTTTTTCGATTTGTTTTTTTTAGTGACTTGGGTTCAGTTTTGGATATAGAATGAACCTCTATAAATATGAGATACGAGAATGCAAATCAACACATTTTATGTAAGGAGGGACAAGAGTTTTGACAAAAGCAATACACAATCCAACACGAAGATCATAAAGTAGAAATTTGTGAAAGCATTGACAGTAGTGCAAAACCGCATTCATCACCTAATTCGCCACCCTCAGAGGTGGAATATTTTCTTCAAATTTAAATGGGACCAATATTGAGGTACCCTCTTTCCAACAAAAAAGAATCATCAAAATCTGTTCACACTTATCGCTTAACATACAAAAAAATCGAATTGAGACACTCCTATTGTTTTTTAACTCGGTTAAAAAGAAACCTCACCGCACGACGTACCATGCCTTTCCTGTACATCTGGTGCACCCTGGATAACAACCAACGACTATCTGACGCCGATTGACAAAAATGGCAAGCACTCAAGTGCGTGGTGTATGCGTTATAGAATTTCACCTAACATTACGATATCGTCCCAACAGAATACATAGAAGACATCTGTCCGTACGCGACGTTCCAACTGACGAAACCGACGGCATACAGCGAAAGCAGCTACAGCGGCAACGTATACAGTGGACCTTACCACTCCGTCAGAGGGTCCTTTGTGTATCATGACTTGAAACAAAATGACAAATATAAGGTAAGTGACTTCTATCTGCTTATTCTATAAAGCTACTCCAGAATATCCATTCATTGTAATTATAATGAAAAATAACTAATTATAGTTCTCCATTTTCAAGTAGAAAACCATCACGCAACAAGCTTTTTAGACTCACGATGAATACAAAAAATTATTGAAGTAGAATTGTTTACAATTGATATATATTCTAAAACTGAGTCATCCCTTTACTGCCACTATGCAAGCAACACAAATAATTGATTATTCTACAATTTTTGGACCATAAAAAATAACGAAAGTGTTGACCTCTACACGACGTGGTCGCTTCGCGAAAAATATGCACTTTTTTCCATTATTAAAAAATATTATTATTATTTGTGATATTAAGTTTACTTATATCACGATGTTTTACTACCATGATATCTAATATTTTTTTGTGAAATTACTCCACTAGTCTATTATGATTTAGAAAAATTCGTAAAGTCTGCTAGTTTGTTCCGAAGCTTAGTTGTGAAAGCGTCAGGCTCGGTATGCTGAAGGCACTGGTTGGATACCAGCCAGATCGAAGGAATTTTTCTTTGTGTCGAGCTTTACATTAATAATTGTTTTTTTTTGTTCTATTAATAAAAAAACATTGTTAATTTACAAATTTCAGGGCAAAGAACCAGAGTACACAAAAGTGCGAAGAAAAGGCAACAGACTCCGAGACCCGCACTCAGAAAGCCAAGGTCAGGATATCACATCCCAACCATAGATTGCACATTATTTAAAAAAAGCTTATCTATAAGTAGTTAGCTACATTTTATTTTACGTAGATTGCACTTTCTATTAATTAAGTTTGTAACCCGTATGACAAATTCAAATTTGACCAAAGTAATCACCTTTTATGCAACCTGTTGGAAGCGTAACTGGTGTTGTAATTTATAAAGGTAAGCATGCACACAGTATATATAAACTATGGACATTAGCTTCTATATTTTTTATTTATAAAAAAAAAGAGTATATGTATGGTCTTGCATTAAAATGTTACGTGAAATATAGTAGTTAGCATTTTACGCTTTCGTATTTAGCCTACATCAAAGTTGGTTGCTGCATTTCGTATTTTCATCATGATTGTTTGGATTGACACTTATTTTTTAACTCATGTCACAAGCTTGAATTGTTGTTAGTGTGCTACGAAAACTTCACATGCTCCGTTATCAACAACGTTAACAAAACGACTTAACCTGCCCACATTCAATGTAAACTTGTCAATTCATTTTCGTAGCATAATACCATCAAACTCATTATTCATCAATTTCCTCCATTCATTACTTGATACTAACAAAATGGACTTTATATTGCAGAATCGGACAACTTGGGCTCAACGGACTCGGAGGTGAAGAAGATACTAACGCTGCACCTGCCAATTACAGAGTACGAGAACGACGAGAGCGATGACGCGAGCGCACCACATTCTGACAGCGAGTCAGCCACACGGCTCAGACCTGCACATCCTACTACTTGTTAGTATTTATATATCTATGATATTTTCTATAACTTAAAATGCTATTAGTCAAGATAAAAAACATAATATAGGTAACGGAAACAATAGAACTACGCCAAGAATACAACAGCTAAATATAACAACATAATTGTACAAAACTTACAGGGTGTAAAAAGACCCTTAACGAAACCGCAATTAATATCGAACGCATACATAATGCGACTGCCGCTATGTGTATCTATATGTGTTTCTAAGAGCTGTGTCAGCATGGTTTTATTTTACGGCATGGCCCGTGGAAATGCCTGAGGTAATTCGATTTTACGGGATTGAACATCCGAGTGCAGTTCAGTTCTATTCTCGACGTGGTGCGAAAAAACCCACGTTTGGAACTGAACAGCAGTCAAAGTTCTACGAAGACTACATGACCACTTCGCTTAGTAAGTATATACGATAAGACAAGACTGAATGCGGATCGAAGACACTCACACTCATGCACTCTGTTGCATGCATTACATTGCGCGTCCTAAAAAACGACCGTTTTTTAATATGCACCTAAAAATAAAAGTTGTTTCCCAGTAATTATTTTTGCTTAGTGTGCCTCAGTTTGATGTATGTACATTATGTGTACTTTTCGGCTTCGTTCGCAGAAATTCTGTTTGGGCACGAAACACCAGACAATATAGTGCAACAGAGACAAAACTATAATATGTATAGTGTTGTGTTAGCCATGACCAATAGGAAACAATTTGCTTTATGGCCTGTTGTTATTCACTTTATTCTCTTGTCAAACGAAAAATGAACCTGCAAGTGATGTGTTTCGAAATGGCCTAAATTTACCATTTCACTTTTGGTTTGATTGTCGGGCACATTTAATCACTTAGGAACAACGTCCTCGTCCTGCAATTAGATAGTTGCAGGTTTGATCTCTGATACGACCTGCGTTATGACAGAAAATCAATAAATGAAGTAGTTCAACTTTATTATTGTTTTATTTATTATTATTTTATTATTATATATATATATTATTATTATTATTAGACTATGGCTTATAGATTTCAGGTTCCAAAAGTTCCACTTGCTTTGAGGAGGTCGAAAGTATTGGATTTCCGTAAATGAAAAAGTATGGCAATTCTTTACGAAGTATAGTTTGAGTAATTCGTGATTTAAAGTTTTGAACTCTTTTATAATTTCATGTCAATATTGTTCCAGATCCAAGCGTAGAGCGCGAAGAATCTTCATCTTCATCAGAAAATTCAATAGGCGGCGTGGTTCGCAAGGCGTTTCCGTCGCGAAAGGGTAAAGCCGGAGCTCTGGGTAAACGACACGTGCGGTCTTCGAGCGGATACAGTAGTCACAATGACGAGACAACATTCAGGTAATTACGTCCACCAAGATTTACTAAATTTTCTCTAATAATAATCTTTTCAAAATTGAAGTTACTTTTTAATGTCATAAGTATGGTGCGGAATTAAAGTTCAAATTTAAAGCTTATTTTAATTCTGGAGTCTAAAATCCCCAAACAATATAATTTTATAGAAGTCCACAAATTTTTTTCAAAAACAAAGGTTTAATTAATTCTAATTCCGAGCCTGTTATAAACCTAGAAACCGATATGCATTCCAGTATATCAAACTACCCTTCGTTCAACGACCACATCCACCCACCGTCGCGGTTTTCAGACGACACGGAGTGCGAGGGCCACCATCGACGCAAGCGCAGCGCGCACCACCACTCCTCCCACACGCCCGACAACAAGATGTCCAGAGAAGCCTTCCAGATTAATGTTTGAGGAACGTAATGCCATCGAAGCAGGCAAAGTATGGCTCGTATAGCTTGTGCTGGCATCTACCGGTGAAATCATCATACACACGACCAACTCACTTCTCTTCCCTAATGAAACTTTAACGACATCGACTTTTATCTTGACAAAAAAATTGTTATAAATTAGGACTATTGTATCTCTTATGATTATGAGTCTTTTGGTCTCTTTCTACGCTCAAAATGAGCTATACCAAAAGTATTATAACTCGATCATTTTCTAACTTGTTGCCAAAGTACTATAATAATCATGTACATACAATTTGTAGATAGGTTATAGCTAAAAATAATAATATGGATTAGTGCCACATACAATACTTGTTTTTGTACTCCAGAATTGCGAATGTAAAGCTACAAGTTGTTGTTTAATAGTAACAGGTGGCATCGACACTGCAGAAAATAAAATTAATCAGTGTTGTAATAGGTCAATGGTGACGTAATGTGCGGCCAATTGGAAAGCGCCTCAATTCGGTTGCGCCATCTATTTTCAAAAGACCGATACGAAAATTATGGTCTAGCTAGGTTCTGAATCAGTTCGACCGTTTTGTACATAGCATAGTAATTAACATGTACGGTACGAGTATCGAATATAAAAGTAAGAAGAACAATAATTAATATAAAGGTAATTATATTTTAAACTTAATGCCTTATTGACCAAAGTCTTAAAACTAGTTACGGATTATACAATAACATTGTATAATTATTTCCAAATAATTCATTATTGATTGTTTGATTGTTGTATAAAGTTTATGAAAACAATTGTTTTCATTGGCGAGTCGTATCATTGTGTATAGTCTAGCGTTTATGCAGAAACATATTGGCGTGACAGGCAATGTATTCCAATTTCAAATACTGTTATATATGATATCCCCTTCGATACCCGGTTTAGTAAAGATTACAGACGCTTAAATACAGCTGTAATTTCTTTTATAAATGTATGTTTATATTACTGCCAAATTCGTACTTGCCAAACTTTAGAGAAAACTATAAAAATGTAAATTAAATATTCTAATGCGTATGTATTAATGTAGATGTTAAAGTTGTGAAAATAATATTAAACCGTGAAATATAAATAACAGTAGATTGTGTCACTATGAAACAAAATAATATATTTACGGAGACGAAAAGAATTGAATCCAATGGGCACAGGATTTAATGTAATGCTATTTTCAATTCCTTTTTAGATCATGTTGTGTTGTCTTTTTCTAAATAAGTGGAAAATAAACAAAATACGTATTACTACAATCCACACTGAATGATGTATCTTAACTTTTTTCACTGACATTGTACAGGTAACAAAATTACCGCAGTTTTTAAGGTTGATGAGCAAGAGGCTTTTTTGACTGGTGATTAACTTATATGCCAATTATCCAAATCTATTACTGTAACAAACTATTAAAATTAACATTGAACGTCACGTTTTGCGGTTTCAAACCATATTACCAAAAACTACGACCGTGTTGTTCGTAGGACCTCTAGAAACTTGACCTTTATTCCAATATTTTTAGATTTATAACAGCAAACATCATCAGTGATCAGCCTACACTGATATCTAAACGTAATTATGATCACCGAACAACTAATATTAAATGCAATGCTTAATAAGAAATATGATTATATAAATTATTAGAATATGCAATCCTCAGTAACACATGACAATACACTTACCTATAGCTTGGTGAATATGGCAAAAAGTTAACTTTATAATGTACATTTGAATTGTATCAATGTGTTTAGCATAGTTTTTGGGCAGAGAAAACGAGGTTTTATGAATAGCTGGATTACTACGGATAGCCCCATACGTGTTTGGTTGGAATCCTACTTTCGCTTTTTATGGGCACAGTGCCGTCACGTGTCCTGGAAATGAATTTTGACCCTGAATCCCTGTCAAAGTCCTTACACATATCGTCCTTTCCTGACTAGCTGTCGTAATTACCATTAGGCAATTCCTTCAGGGTAAATTATGTCCGGGTTAGTAACTTCATCTCAAGAGCTATATTTCGTGTTAGACTTCTTGTTTAAGTAATATAAATAAAAATAAAAAAATAAATAAAGAAAAGACTTGTGTAAGTTCTTTAAAAGATACATCAATTCATGTTCTGTATAATATGATTACTCGATCTAAAATGTAATATAAAAAAAACTTCGTTTTCTCTCCTCATGCCATAGTTTATGAGTGTTGAACACTTAACACGACGTTTTGTATAACGACACAAGTTTTTAAGTGAATTTTGTGGGTTTATAATAATTTACAATCGTTTATGTTGAATCTCTCGTAATTCCAACGAAGACTGCCCTTATAATTATCGAGATCTATTTTATATAAAGTCTAGTCACAGATTCCTAGTCGAAATAAGTAGTTATTGGGTTTTGTTACATTTGCTACCATGCTTTAGTACCGCGTCTATACTAAAAACCAGTTCGTATAGCATGACATTTGAATGTTTGCATGTATAAGCGCGTTGATAAAGCCTGCTGCAAATGTAACACAATCGGTTTCAGTTATTTAAAAATTTGTCCTAAGTTTCCGAGTAAAATAAGGAAAAAAATTCACTTTCAACTTTTACGACTTTTTTAAAGATGTTTACTAGAAATTCGGTTATTCGCCCAAAGCTATTTTATCGAATAGCATTTTTTATACCAGTTTACTTGAATTCCTACGAAAATTTTAATTCGATTAAAGCGTTTCTTAGCTCACCAATGATGTCGATTCTTTTGTGCAATACACGTTACTTAAAAAAAAGACGAATAATAAATGTAATACTGTTCGTTTCATTTTTGTACTTGTGTACAAAAGACAACATAGTTTTGTATTGGTGTTAGAATACTTTATAGGGCTATAGAAGCGCTGCAGTGGCGCCACTATGGCACTGTAGCCCCGCCGTTACTAATTTTCATACAAATATTTATAACGCAGCCTCAGTGCCCCTGTTGCACCACGCGCGCCACTTTTGCGGACCAGATATTCGCATGAAAATTGGTAGCGGCCACTGCAGCGCTTCGCAGTATATTTAATACGTTGATGAACCTAAATAAATGGAAATTACCTATCAAAGGCTTACCCGTAAGTACAAAATTTACAATCCCTGTTTGAGTTTAGTTCCGTTAAATAATTTTCCAGTTTACAAACGTGAACAGAATCGACGTCAATGATTGAAATTAACTTGGATGTTGAATCTAGTTTAAAATTTTCTAGTCAATGTACCATATCATTTTAAAGGTTTTGTTATACACAGATACACGTAAATATAAGAATTAGTTAACCATGTTGTTAAAGATATGTTTTTACAATGCAAACAAAATGGATTACTAGAACAGTATGATGTGAACAAAAATAAAAAATCATTTACTTGAAATTGTCTATTTGTTATTATTTCATTTACCTACATTTATTAAACTACAGTGACATGAAATTATACTAATATATAACAATAAGAGTACAACCTCAAAATAGGGTTTGTTACCCTTCAGAGATTAGACTATTATTGTTTAATGTTACTTACACAATGTTAACAAACTGTGGTACCGCCAATGATGTTATACGTGTTTTAAAAAAGGTAAATATGTTACGAGCATCCGCGTCGTGAAAACTCGAAAATGTCCTAATTGGGATCTTCTTGCAGTTACTCTCGAGTCGAGGAAAGGGTCGAACGTGAAATTTGTGAGTGTGTCATTTTATTCAGATAAACAAAATGCCGTCGTTGTATATTTGATAACTACACTACCAGGAATCTCGTACTCTGAGTCAGGTAGCAAAAATATTTACATTATTGCTATATTTTAATTATTTTTCTGTTAATTTATTATTAAAAAATAACCTTAAAATAGCATTGTTCTAAAGAGAGTACCTACTTTTGTGTAAATGTTCATTCTGTTCGACAAAATCATAATCTATGTCCCGGCAAATGCACTTGACGCAACCTTTAAAAGACGGCTGCCTCTTTTACTTATTCATTTTACTTATTATTTATCTTTTGTACTACTTATTACCGCAAATTTGTAAACATTTGTGCAGTTTCTGTAAGCTGCGAGACAGATTTCAAACGCAGATTACTAGAATGTAACATATCTTGTGTATAAGATCGTTGGGCGCCGCCATAAAAACAGACAAACTTATAAATAAATATTATTACCACCACAGACAATATTTTCTTTTTTACCCCGTTGGTAATGGACTCTTTTTAATTTATGGACGCAATGAAATGTCTATATCAAGAAATTAATCAATTAGGTAACCCATACTCAGGTGCGGAAGGATGTCAACTGACATTGGGGTCGACCGCCATATTTAAAATTATTTTTACAAAACTGAAATGGTGCAATTTTACAAAAGCACCACCAATAAGCAAAAGAAGCCTGTTTGTTTGGTTTCTTGCCATGGACATTTTACATAATTTGTTTGGTAATCAATTTTAAAAGTTCAAAATACTGTCGAATTGAAAGTGGACAAAAAATATACATACATAAGCTCACGCCCTAGTCCCACAGGAGGGGTAGGCAGAGAGTACAGAACGACTGACACTACTCTAGAGCCTCGCATACATCAACTACCCTTTTCATACAACTACTTTCATTCTTGTCACTTCGGATCCCAGCCTTTTTGAGGACATCACTGATCTAGTCAATGTTAAGTCCTTCTGGGACGTCCTATTAAAACCCTTCCATTCAATCTGTTTGGTAATTCTTCTTACATCCATTCACTCTACATGCCCAAACCACCTCAACATACCTTTCTCTATTTTAGTCAGTAAATATGCCTAACAAAACTGATAATACCTAAATCCATTACTCTTAACATAAAGTACATAAAATGTATCTCGTTTGATTCATACACAGCACTTCACGCATGCACATACTCAATCGCTGTCGCTGTTTTCGTCGGCAGTAAAATCAAACGGCCTGAACTTCCGTCTGAACTTAGCCACATGCTGATCTTCCTCCTCTCTACTGAGAAGGCATTGGCGCCAATCCGCTTTGTCTTCACAATTTAGTATCGGAGGACTTGATAACACATCCCTGTAAGAAAAATAGTATATAGGAATTAATTCAAATGCCAGATCCATGGTCGTTTCGCTAAAATTTTATTACTACTTCATAATTCATTTATTTGTGATTGATGATTGAAGATGCATTTACTCACGCGCACTTCATCAGACCAAAGTAGGTGCAACATGTTCTTTTAATAATACGACTTGGGCACACGGATTTAATAAGTCAGTTAGGAATTTGGGTAAATTTTAATGATATAATTGTAAAACATAACTAGAATAACAAAATAAAAAATTTAATTTAAAAACGTCAACATAAATATACTAAAATGAAAAATTGGACAATATCGTTCAGGATTTGTCATTTAAAAATTAGGATACTGTACAGTCAACAGTACATCACCATCAATACACTTTTGTTTGAATATCGCTTCCAGTGCAACGTGCAAGATCCGTGAAATGTGTAACTAGTCGTAATGCCGTCTGATTATTTTATTAGTCAATAAATTGTTTACTTGCTTTTTAAATAGCATAATGTATATTTATTATACTATTTATAATGCATAGTAGAAAATTATTGTACATTTTTAGCGGTATTACAAAAATACTTTACTAAATGTGGAAATTGATAATTGTACATAATGACGCTTGGCGTTCATTTTAATAACATCGTAAATGGATAGCTTAATTGATGGCGTACGTGAGGAAAGTTCAGCTGCATAAGTAATTTCTGTGCCGGTGGTTAAGAAGGGTTTGGAAACCTGGCTTAACGTTGCCATGAACTATACGAGATCTCTCGGACCGAGTCCACTCAGATTACGTGTTTACACGTTACGAGTAGCGTCCGAGTGGACTCAGTCCGAGAGTACTCATACAGGAAAAATCCAGCTTTATAGAGCAGAACGACAGTACTATAGAGTGAAGAAATTATTGTAGAAATGAGTGAAGAAATAGTGATTACTGAATAAATGAAATTGGAATGGAAACGCGCAAACGACTGCGTTCCGTGTGGTGTGGCGCTACACTAATACATTTGCGTTCGACTGTACGTGTCAATTCTAAAGTAAATCTAAGATATGTTAGACTTCTTTTATTAATTATTGTATGAATATTATGACCTACATAGTTTCCTGTACTCGAAGCTGCTTAGACACGAATGAAAACCCCCTGAAGAAACTTTAAAAAATCTCTATGGCTTACAAACAGACGCAAATACTGAGTTGGTATCCCATTTGTTACTGTAAATAGTAAGTACTTAGTTGGCAATGTAAGTATTAAAAAGTAAATAATCGCATACACACCTGCCAAACTGCAAAGGAAAATATTGTTTTGTCTTGATGTAAATTTGTTCGCCAGTGGGCAACTCCGCGTGGAAATACGGCGAGCCGGCGAACGTCACCTGCATGATGTCCGTGTACGGGGGAAGCACTTCCAACTCGAGGCTGTTTATGCCCGCTTCATCCTGTAATACATTCATTAACGTAACTTTCGAGATACTGGCACCTAAAGTTATTTTTTTCTTGGAAAAATGTCACTTACGCTGATTTTGCATAACAATAAAACTGAAACTAAATAAGATATAAAAAACCGCTTATAGAGGGTTACGTATCTTGTTTCGCGGATTTTAGATATGTTATTAACTCAATTTCGCTAAAAATGTCGATTACGTTAGTTATGATAAGGAGGGCAGTACACTATTGTAATGAAACTAAACGCCACTACATATTTTTTAAATACTGTAATTTTTACCACATGCCATTACTTAGTTTTAGTTATCGAGTATATAACCTGAAATAGAAACGAAATGTCATTTAATTTGTTTCAAAACTATTCTGTCGTCAATTCGACTACTTTAACTTGAGCTTTGCTATAATGGGCGAGAATTGAAAAAATACATAATTATTTAATTACCGATGAAATGTGACTCCGTTTGTTTTGTACTTAGATGTTTTGCTGTTTTTCCAACACCGCCAAATGGAACAGCCTCCCATTGTTATAGATATTATACTTATTACAATAAATACAGAATATTTTTGAAATATACGGAGACGTACACACAGGTCAGTTGTTGGCGCTGTACTATTTCAGCATTCCAATTTGTGATTTCAGTGCAAACGAGAGTTGATATTTAAAAGTGATATAAGGCCCATTTGCCTGATGAGTTGCCAGGGATGGATGGCCCTTATTTCGTCTCTATTTCTGGTTATATACTCGATGGTTTTAGTTTATCTTAGTTTTAGTTTAATTGTAGTTTATTTTAATGGGGTTTAAAAGGGAAAGGGTGCTGGTGAAATTACAGGCCGATGGGACTTGACAACTTATGTCTCAGCGTGACTGGCGCAGTGCCCCTCAGAACTATGCGATTTAGCTCGAGTGGCACTGCAACTGTTATGGATGGGCGTGTCGCTCAAAATAAGCGCTTTGTCGTCGAGTTCCGGATACCAGCCCGTTGCACCAAGTACCAAGCAGGCGTGTCGCTTACGATCAAGCGCACGACTTGTTCGTGCCGTTACTTGATATTATAAACAAAGTTACTGATGCGTTCTGGTAAGTGGGCTCCAACCACAGATAACACCTCGGTACCAACCCAAGAAAAAAATATATACACATACCCATTGTAAAGTACAAATGGAACACAGTTCCCGCCATTTCAAATATTCCAATGCGGATTGGAGTTAACTTTCAAACTCAAAATTAAATAACCTTTATTCCATAGGTCAGCAAATTACACTTGAAATCTTTATTGATTAAACTGTACTACTCGTTCGTAAGGCAGATACTCCTTTCTGATTCCTTCGATCCGGCCGGATTCGAACCGACGTCTTCTAGCAAACCGTGGCAGACGCTATGCCAACTAAGCCACGGAACGAACCAGCGGACCTCGCGAATTTGCGTTAGTTTGGACGCGTGTTGTCGGATCTTCGCATTTGTTTTCAACGACTTTTTAGCCGTAGCGCCATCTATGAAAGTATTTCGTCGCCCAGTTAGGTAAGTTCACAGCTACCAGCCCTGGCTAGAGATGTCGCTATTAACTGTAATTAAGGTCATATGTATTTATTTATTATAATCGACTGCCTTTTCAGAGTTTTATGGCACAGACCGGTTGAATTAATAAAACGCTCACCTGAAAAACCTCAAGGATCTGCTCGCTGCACTGTTTGGGAACAGGCACGCACTGGATCTGCATGTGTGCCGATCTGTAGTTCCTCTCGAAAAACACAGCCACCTTATTCATTGGACTGTAGAAGCTCTTCAACGCCTCTTTGAACCTTTTTATTTCTATCACTACTTCATCTGGCGCCTGGAAGTTTGGTTAATTTATGTATCATCAGTCAAGGATTTTTTCAAGACTATATATATAAAAAAATATATTGAATCGGTCACTCTCGGACTAGTGTTCACTACCTAATTTCCGTGGCAATTTTTATTATTTGAATATTCAAGTAAATTATAGTGTAATTATTAAATGATGTTTCACGATACGATACTCGAATATTAAATAAATATTGCAGGATAAAAAAATCGAGTACTTAAATAATAAAAATTGCCACGTGAATTAGGTAGTGAACATTAGTCCGAGAATGACCGAAAAACTAATAAACATTACCTACATTGATTCTTTTGTCTATCGAACAAAATGGGGTGGCGTGGGCGTTTGTGACTTATTATTATTATTATGAATACATTAGGCTACATGAATACATGGCTGAATCCAATAGGATACATAACGTACCCTGATGGCTTGACCTACCGCCTTTCAAGCAGAGGCCGTGGTTTCGGATCCTGGCTGCACCGCGGAGTTTTTCAAAATTTATGTGCGATATTTAATGTAAAATTCACCATGAGCTTTTTCGGTGAAATAAAATATCATAATGAAACCTGCACGTTGAAGAAGATTCACAACCCTCGGAAAATGTGTGAAGTCCCTAACCCGCATTGGACCGGCATGGCGGACTATGGCCTATACTCTCGCTTGAGTAGAGACCCGTGCCCAATAATCGATAGATAATGATAATGATGATTGATAGACCTCGTTTTGCCTAAATTATAAAGTTTTAATTACGCGTTTGTGAAAAAAAAATAAGCCTAAGATAGGCGGTAGAAAAAATTATGTTGAGTTACAACCATAATGTAAGAAGAGTGGAAAGAAATATTATCTAGAGTGTTAATTATTAATAACAAAGATCGAACACTTAGAAAAAATTCCTTCGATCCGGCCGGATTCTATGCCACACACATAACCTTGCCAGACGCTATGCCAACAAAGCGTCTGCCACGGTTTGCTAGAAGGTTTGCTGCTATTAATAATTATAACAAATTAGTGGAGCAATTTCACAAAAAATAATTGAATAATCATGTAGTAAAACATGACGTGACATTCAATAAAAACTTGAAAATTAAAGAGTGATCATTTATACATTAGTCTTCATGGCAACTAAAAATATCTTGCTGAGACCAATTACATACAGAATGCTGAATGTTAGAATTCTAGTAGACAAGCATGCAAGTAATTCATCCGTTATTGATAATATTGTCAAAATGTATAATTAAATATGGCCATGAATACAATGTCTTGTATGCTATAATGTGAAGCATGTGTGAAGTATCAAGTATACAGTATCATAAGTCTACGCATTACGCACTACGCATTTCTATTTATTAAACCAGATCATCTATATAAATAACGTAAACAATTTGTCTTCATCGTGTAAAGTTGTCAAAATTGAGATAGTACCGGTTGCCAGTTCAGTCGATATGTATATTCCTATTTACTATGTTCAAATGCCCCAAACCAGAATCATAACGGAAATCATATTACAATAAAACTTACCCTCGTAATAGCCTGATGATGAGCAATAGGCAGTATCAGCACATGGTACGGTGTGAGAGGACCCTTAGGCAACGCCAGATAGCAGTGAGTGCCAACCGATATGACGAGATGCTTTTCTACACTGGGCGATGACAGGCAGAACCAGCATTGATCTACACGGTAACAAAATAAAACACGGTAAAATGGTTTCATCACACTTGCTCGTAAAGAGTATGATTGCATGGTGGCTAACTTGACTATCATGCTCCAAATAAAACCCTCGCGCCTTTTTTCTTTCCATTGTAGCTGTGGATTGTGGATGTGCATTTTTATTTGTAGCACGACATACTTCCTTCCATAGGTCAGGTCCCAGTTTAAGCAAGGAGGTTACTTAAGTTCGAAATTAAAACGTTCGCTTAAACAGAAATTTAATTGCAATTCAGCCTCATACTTCTTAAACACTTATTATTCAGAATTTTAATTTATTTTAATTATTTTCCGTATAATTTTTTAGGTTTTTTTCTATGTTATATATACAATTGTCTTTTCGAACACTAACAAAAATTCCTTTGATTCGGCTGGATTCGAACCAGCGCCTTCAGCATACCGTAGCTGACGCTCTCCCAGCTGAGCTACGAAACGATAAGGAACCAGCAATCCTTACTAATAGAAAAATTCGTAAGGTAACAAATAATATGTAGATGAATGTTACATTTTTTTTTAATGTAATCATCTAACAACGCTTCTTAGATACCACATCCGTAGCAGTAAATAATGATTAATACTCAAAATTAAATATAGGTAATTGTAAATCGAATAATCATAGGATGTATACTAAATAATACTTGTTACAACTAATACGCGATTGTTACATATATGAACAATATAATTTACTATGGAACCAGAGAATTGTGGTACTTTAGCTTTCTTAGATGTTTTAATTAAAAGAAATCCTAATAACACCATAATAGGCCATACTGTATTTCGAAAGAAAACCCGTACAGATAGGTACCTCAATGGTAATTCCCATCACCATCCTAGCCAGTTAGCTACCGTGGGCAAATCTGTGTCTGCGACAGTAATCATCTGGCAGGGGAACTTCATCATATAAAGCAAGTCCTAGTCCAAGCATGCGAATAAGTGGAAGAATCCACCCCAATGCCGCAGGCCCCGTGTGAAACCACCAACAGTCGAGCGAAGACCTGCCATTTTACCTTACGTGAGAAGTGTTACAGGCAAGATCTGAAGAGTCCTCAGGCGAGCATCTATCAAGACCTATTTCAAGCCCCTGAGGAAGATTTCTCAGTTCCTGAGACCCGTGAAATGTAACATCCCCTTACAGGATGCAGGAGTGCACAAGCTTGACTGTGAGTGCGGTCTCTCTTATATTGGACAAACGAAACGAAATATTTGTACCCGCGCCAAAGAACATATGGCTGATGTCAAACAGCGTCGTGTAAACAAGTCTGCAGTCTGCGAGCATGTCATGGATAAACATTCAATGAAGTTTGACAAAGCCCAGGTACTTGCAAAAGAAGTCCGTTATCTACCCAGGATGCTGCAATAAGCCATTGAAATGAAAAAACATCCTAATTTCAACAGGGAAGATGTTTTCTCCGTACCACCAGTTTGGGATCCAGTATTTCCTCTAATCCCAAACAGACATAAAACTGCAGTACTAATTAATATGTTTTAGTTTATTCTAATTCCTATTATTAATTAATAACAAATTGAACTTAATAAAAATTCATTCAATAAAATAATTTGTACAACTTAATGAAGCGTAAATTGGAATGTTTTCTTTGTAAAATTAAAAATAAGGTATTTAATTAATAACAATTGTAACCATAGTGAAAAAATATGGTGGTTTGCAATAATATTAGACATAACTGGTTGATGACTCTACCACCTCAGTCAACCGTGACCATGGAACCTGTAAAGGGCCCGAAACATCGGTTTATTTGAAAAAACAAATATAGGCGATTTAAATCTGAAAAATAGTTTCATTTCCAATAATACTATAGTTTCTATTTAAAAAATGCTAAAGCAAACAACGAACAAGATCACATCAGATATTACTAACCAAGATCAATGCCTTTCTTTTTCTTCTCAGATTCTTCTCCACCTTTTCGTTTTCTCTTTCCATGCTGTCCGTCGTCGTCGTTCGCGTCCATGTTGAAGAAGAATTGACCATTGCCCGTAACCTGTACAACAATATTAAATGTATAACAAGTTATATCGAGTTCTTAGGTTTTCGCGATTGTGGATATAAACAATTAATATATAAATTTCAAACAAACCAACATCTCGGGCACTTTACAACCAAAAAATGCCAGCTTAGCTGCCCAAAACACTGGTTGTACAAAAATTATATTTTTAAATTATATACGCGGTTTAGACCCGAAAGAATAGTTTCATTTTCCATATATGTATGAAGTATATGTAAAACATAGCGGTAGAGCCACTTCTTCAAGTACTGCCACTTCGCCTATTTCTGTAAAGACAGGACAAGTCTTTCCATTCTCGCAAATCGACAAAAAATAAAAACAACACAAGTTGTCGTTACAAGCAAAACAATGTATTTAGTTCTGTAAGGCGTTTTGACAAAGAACACAAACAACTTAAATCAAATTCAAAACAATCACAGACAACCTACATAGAAGGTGTGTCAGCGAAAAGGTTTTCTCACAATTTCTGCCGCCAAGAAGTAATGTGAGCATTAGGCTGCTTTTCCACCAGAGATGTGCCACGTAGCGACGCGGTGTGCGAGGAAAAAATCCACCAATAGAATTACTGCATTTTCTTAGCTTCGCTTAGCGCAGCTCCGGTGGAAAGGGGTTGGCGAGGCTAAGTATTTGTACATACAAAATAGAGGGAGATGTGTACAAGGAATGTGCGCGAGGGATGCGGGCGAGGAATGTGCGCAAAACGGTGTAGGAAACTAGAGCTACTGAAAGTATGACCCTAACTGACACTGACACATCCGCGCATAGCTGAAAAGAGTCCGTAACGCATCCTCGCACCACGCCGCTGCATATGCTCTCATCGCATAGCTACCTCGCAAAGATTTGGTGGAAAACATCGCACCGTTTCACAGCGTCGCAACACAGCCTTGCACCGCCACGCTACGTCGCACATCTCTGGTGGAAAGGTAGCCTTACAGTGTTCCAGCTTGAATTGTGCTGGTGAAACTACAGTCACGTGGGACTTTCAACTTATATTTTATGAAGTGCGCAGTGGCAGCGCCCCTCGGTACTTTGCGAAATTAAAATTCTGAGTGGTACTGCAGCTTTCGAGGATAGCAGTGTTGCTGACGACTAGTTCGTCCCGACACTTAGTATCATAAAAGAAAACCCTAAGCTATTCGAGTTAAGGGGTTTTTTTTTGTGCGAGAATATTCTCATATGCACCGTCTAGCCTGTGACGGAAATCAGTACCGTCTAAAATAGGTAAGTACTGTAGCAGGCTGCATTGATTGCATTTAGAACTGTCTAAATAAATGTGGGTTTGTATTTAGAATTAGATAAAATAAACAAGGATAGTGGTAAAAAGAACATCGCGGTGGTTCTAGACGAATTCTCGAGTTGTACGTACGCAGTAAATTTCTCGAATCTTATTAAAAAGTACCTGTCGCAACGCTAAAACTACGGCTCCGCTCCCACAGAACCCTTCACTTACCGTAACAACTTTCCCAGGTTGATGTTGCTTCAACAAATTAGGATCATAAGGGCACGCAGTTTCATCCGTAGTGCTTTGCAGCAATTCTGTCATTCGCATCTTCGAGATTGGTTGGAGAGAGCAGGCGTAGATCCATTTCTCTTTATCTTTATTACCAACAGGAGCTAACGCTATGAAACGCGTTGCGCATTCTTTGTAGTCTTGATGATGACTTTGATTTCTGTGAAAAAAAAACAAAACCATTGAATTTGTATATTTACAATAATAAAAAATTTGGTATTTTTGGTTAGTAGAGATAAGTTAGTTACATAAAATTGTAGGATCTGTCTGTCACTATAGTATCTGCCTACAATAAGTTCTGAGTTTGCCTTGGGAGTCACTGAAAGACCTCAACTTACGACAGTCATTTATTTGTATGAAAGTCCCAAAACGGCGCTGCATGCATACAGGTTTAATCCTAGTTCGGCTGCAGAGGCTTACATAATTTGAAATGTACAATTTTCTTAGCCTTATTTTATAATTTATAAATGATCATTTTGTATGTCTGTACACTGTTTGTTTAAAGTAAATAAACATTTATTATTATTATTATTTATTATAAAACAACACACTATCACACCGGATAGCAACTGCCACGCGATCGCAATACTCAAAACTGATGATTCTGCAGCTTCACTCACACTTACAGAGTCCTTACAAAGTAATATCAGTAACATAGACCATCACAAATCATCAGAATATTTTCACACATTGTTTCTTTTACAAAGAATATAAATACTGCCACCGTTGAATGTTTGTATTTATGTAATACAAAAAGAAAACAAACTTAGAAACAAAATCTATATTTCGAGCATACAACAAATAAGATACAATGCGAAAGATTTTTTCATTAGTGTTCCATCTTTGCATTCATAATTATTAGAGGTATAACAGACTAGTGGGGTAATTTCCCAAAGAAATAATTAAATATTATGGTAGTACAATATGGTGATATTCAATAAACTTAATATTACAATTTATTAAAGCGCTGGTAGCTGTAAAGGTACCTAACTGAATGAAAAAAAAACTTTTATAGATTTCTCTTTGTTGGCGCTACGGCAAAAAGTCGTTAAAAGCCAAAAATGTATTTGATCCTTGTATTAATAAATAATTTGAAATGCAATAAAACTTTACCTGTAAGGCTGCCTTTCAAAAAATTTGCTTGTAGAAGGTACAAAATGGTACCTTGGTTTTATGTGTATAGCCAGCCATGCTATCAGATCTGAAAGTCTTTCTTTCTCTACCTCTACCTGTAATAAAAGAATGTAATTGAAACAGTTTGTGTTTATTGTTGCTAGATTTCATCCTATAATATATATAAGTTTTTTTTTGCTGTCAAGCAAGGCAAGTACCATACATATATTAGCTTACTATACTTACAATACTAGCTTTCTTTCTAGTGGACTTACAATACTAGCTTTCTTTTTTTGTTGGAAAGAGGGTACCTCAGTATTGGTCACATTTAAATTTGAAACAATATTACACCTCTAAGGGTCTAAAACCAGGGGATGACTCCGGTTTTGCGCACTTTCCGGTAACCGATTTCAATAAAATTTGGCAAATAGATCTAATCCCACGAACTTTTGAGGTCGGATTTTGTAATAAAATAGTTATAATTATTGAAACAATGTCAGAGAAAAAAATTAGTTTCTTTGAAATTCCGCAAATAGTAAGGGTAGTAATTTAATACCTTTTCAAATCCTAACAACCAACAAACGTTTGATACAACCCATTGGGACAAAGAAATAAAATAATATATTTTTTTATTATTTTTATACCAAGTTACAGGATGAACAAGTCGTACGCCTGGTGGGAAACGACACACCAGCTCTTAACAGTGGTACTGCAAATGCGTCCGTCACCCTGAGACATAAATTGACAAGTCCCATATACCTGTAATTACGCCAGCACCCTTACCCTTTAAAACTGGAACACATTAATGCTGACAGTTTGGCAGCGGAAATTGGCAAATTTCAATATGCACATATAATGCATTTTTACAGCACTAAATTAATATAGTTAAGCTTCAATGTTATCGAATCTTGTTGCTATGTTACAGCATTGACATCCATTACCATGTTTAGACTGTTTGATGTTTCCTCATGTTCTTACTTTTTGACATTCATCCTCTTGTATCCCAGAAGGCCAAAGCGTAGTAATCAACATGTCGACTCCTCTGAACTCGCTCTGGCCTCTGAAGCACGAATCCCTCACTGCACTGCAGTCGCTTGGCTCAAATGTGACCATCGGTATATCCTTGCCAAGTTCTCGGCGCGAGAGGCCAGTAAGATACGCTATTTTAACACCTGCACTTGTGGTGTATATACCTCGTTTGCCTGAAATGGTGGAAATTAACTTACAATTTTTTTTTTCAATAGAAATGTTTTATCAATAGTGCAACAATATGTAGACGTAACAAATGGCTATTATAATGTTTTTTTTTATATAATATCAAGGAGCAGGACGAACAATTCGTGCGCCTCGTGTTAAGTAACACGCCCGTCCATAAGAGTTGCAGTGCCACTCACACTTTAAAGCTATAAACCGCAAAGATCTCTGAGGGGCACTGCCACTTCGCCCTTCACCATGAGACAAGTTGACAAGTCCCACATGCCTGTAATTTCACCAGCAACCATACTCTTCAAAACCAGAATGAGGTAAATGCTTACATTACTGCTCGGCGGCAGTAATAAGCAGTAGAGCTTGTCTCGTCTGACGAACTCTACTGCTACTGAATTATATGTAATAATATAACTGCCTGATGTACAGCTATGCAACTGTCTATTCAAATAATAAGCTGAAGATATTAACATAGTATAATAAAAGTATGATAATTCCATACAAACGTAGCAGCGCGGCTTGTATACATGTGTGCACGCCCAACATGCGCCATGTACGGACGCACACATTCGCATAATCTCGCGGTGCACTCACATTGCATGACGTGACGAGTGTTTAAAAAAACTTCCCATAGTAGACATGTTTACTGTTGCGTTTACCGTTGCTCGAAAAAGAGTGCTTCAAATTACTCTGTATTTCATTTATATTTCATAATCATACTTCCATAATTGATATGCCAATGCTGGTATTAAAATATCAATATACAGAGGTTTTTTTAAATAGTCTTAGGAACCATTAAGATCTTTTTTTGTGAAAACAATTTTGGCATAGTCAATTTTTTGGTCAAGCATTAATAAAAAGAATAAAAATGATCAAAATTTTTTAGTGCTAATCAACTCAGTTTCATGACGGGATCATTTCATTGAAAGGGATGAAAAAAATCCGGACAGCTGCAGTTGGTGAAATTTCATAAAATATTTAGCATACAAAATTAATAAAATTGACTAATTTTTCAGTTTCTTATAAGTATGATTTCATTGCATGTGTCAATGAGTCAGATAGAAACAAATGAGTTGTCCTACTGTTGAAGCACCAATTAATGCATAATATAATGAATCTGAACACTTACCCATGTAAGTAACATTGGGGACAATATCCTCTCCTTCGGCACAATTATAGTATTTGACATGGTCACTGTTGGATGGCCCAAATACATATGTAGGAACTGGCACTATAAACAAAAATATGTAATTTTTATTTACACAAATAAATTAATTTTTTAAACACTAAAGACCCAGAAATAGAATTTAATTTTGTTCTTATATAGACTATAGTTATTACAGCCTCTAAGAGTCTTTAATGAGAGCCTTTTAATGTAGATTACAATGTATTGTGCTCTCACAATACTCACTAAATAGCAGAGTCTACTGAAGCCCTTAAAATTACTAAGCGGAAAACTTGATACTGGCAAAATCTAAACGGTTAGCGCCATTAAGGAAAACGAAAAAGAAGTAGGTAAATCTGTAATTTGAAATTTGCCTTTTGTAACTCTCTAATGATGACATTTATTTGAATTGAACTGAATTTGATACCCATCTAATGACACTCTGCCCTCGCCTTGTTCTCTGCATTGTGATTGATATTTTTGTAGCATTAATAATATAATGATGTACAACATTGCCACCAGTACAAAGTGACACTTTTTGGGAGGCCCAGAGATATACCGTTTGGGTTATAATTACTATGTTAGATTGACTTGGTGTCATAGCAAAATTCACATAATAATTATCCTGATATGACTTATTTCTAAGTACTTTCCAAAAAGGGTCAAAAAGTACCATACTACTAGTACTTTTCATGAATATATAAATTGTGTTATGATGAAGCAATTAATTTCAGAAAAAAATTACATTCATTATTCTTAGTTTGTAACCTTCATATAACAATGGTGCATGTACATACAAAAGTATCAATTCACTGTAAGTTTGATTTTTAGAGACAAATGCAGCTACTTTGATAATGTAGATGCATTCAAATTATTAATAGAATGATTTTTAATCAACTATGAAACAAAATTTAAACTGCTATTTACTTGAATTCCAATGAAACATACAACAAGTGCCCTTAACATTTGTTTACATATCTCTACCTAATACAAACAAATAGACTTGAACATCTAAACAGTTTTATTTATTGGTAACTAATAGTGTGATAGGAATACAGATACCTTTCCTCGTGCCCATCCTATAAGCATCCAGCTGCGAGTTATCATCGCCGAAGAAGTTACCAACGCACAGAAGAACATCAAAAGGACCAGATTTCTTATTGATAGTCTCGACGCGGGAAAACAAAGAATTGAAGTTTCCATTTACGTCTCCGCATATCAAGCTGTTAAATAAGAACATATGAATGAATTGAGGGGAAAATGATGGAGAAAAATAATGTAGGCCACAAAACTTGGATAAAATTATGACTTACGTTTTTTGTTTATCGGACATTTTAAACTTAAAGGTTATGTTATGAGAGCAAAACCAAAAACCTAACTCTATTATTTATATTTATAACGAAGGAAATTACGTTTTATGTGGGAAAACTCAAAAATTACGATAAATCTGAGAAATTTATCTCAATACTACCAAACAATTTCAATTATTACGTACTCCTCTTGCATAAACAAACCTGACAACCTGACAAAGTGACAAATTGTCGGACACAAACTAATTGTCGGAGCGACCATAGTCGTTTCGTTTTCATCGCGCTTTCTTTTTTCATTCTTCGTGCTTTCACGCTTTTTTTCAAGAAAATTACTTTACTATACTATACTTTTGCCAGTCAGTAAAAAAAAAAGGCATCATCGTGAAAAAAATATGTTAAAACAGAAATGAGTTATTTTGTAATTAATACAAAAAATAAACTTACAATCATCTTACAATATATGAAACGTAATTCCATCCTTGATTATACAGGTGTAACAGAGTTTTTTTGGTGGAGCACCTAACGCAATGAATTCGATAGTGGGAATGAAAAAAAAATTTAAAAAGTAATATTTATGGGGATATTTTTTACTTGCTCTTTAACTGAGGGGAGGGGACTGGCTAAAGACGGCGCGGCGGCGGCGGCGCCTTAAATGATGTATTGATTTGCTTGTGCACTTGCTATGGCTGGAATAAAAAATATCAAATTCGATACTTGAAACTAATATTGAGTCTAAAAATATCGACGATATGTCTTATATGATTTCGTGCAAAAATATCGGTACTTTGAAATGTCGATATTTTTTATCATCCCTAGAAACGTAATTTTGCATGTTGTCCGGTTTGGTCTTCTAGGATGGAAAAAGGTTTGATATTATATAGTCGTCACCAAATAAGAGGCAAAACTTGACAGCTAAAGAAGGCGATAAAATGTAACTTTGGATGCGATCAACGAAACAATAAACAAACAGTTATTAGCATAATTGAGTTTAAAAGAATACTTAATTTTTATTGAAACATTATATAATACGACAAAATACAGGGTGTTTGGAAGGTCGATGCAAAGCTTTAATGTGAAGGTAGCATAGACTATTTAGAAGCATTTTAGGTAGGGTTGTCTAAGACGAAGTCTAAACATTTTTTTAATTTAAATTTTAAGATTTTTTGAGAAAAAGCCAATAATTTTAGAGGTATGGGCTAATAAAGACCAGCTCAAATAATAACTCAATTATTTTTTTATTTTATTTCAATAAAGTAATGTGCACACAGTCTAATAAAACATGTTCTAAGCATCTGTATCGTGGGAAATATTTTTTACAGGCTTTTAAAGTTTACGAAAATGATGAATAATTAACGAAACCAGTTTTTTGACGTCATTTAAAAAAAATGGCAGGTGATGTTTTTGTTCAAACACTTTTAAAAACATGCTTGGTTATTGCTGTTTCTTTTAAGGTATCATTTATGCAGATACGTAATAAATTGTTGAAATTGGGACCTACAAACCAAATTGAGAAAGAAAATTATTTTTCAAACCAGTCGAATAAAACATAATTTTTAGTCATTTAACTTATTTTTTAGTTGGAAATGATAACTGAGAGCAACTCTAACACTTATTGCGCACGTGTACAATAATCGTAAGGTATCGCCAAATAACAGCCAATGCGCACGGTGCGAGTAGGACGGCAATAAATTGGGGTTTTCCAGGCAGGTGAATAGGGGATGGCGAACATTGCTAAAACGACGTTTCTTTAGCCAGGAGTAGGGAGAGTATTAAGGGAGTCGTCACATTTTTAGTTAGTCAAGTGACAACTGCCCGTGTTACTAGACGTTATTTCCGTATTCGTGATATTTCACCTTCACCGTGTTCAGCTGTAGCCCTTTGCGCTCCTGCACGTGTTGATTTTAGACTATTATCTATTTACTTGCGTTGAATTGACTATGGCTACTTTTTTAAATGCGGAATATGCGGATATCGTATTTATGTATGGAAGAGCAGACGGCAATGGATCTTTGGCGCGGCGAATGTATCAAGAGCGCTATCCGAATCGCAGGGTGCCGCACGTTAGAGTGTTTTACAACACATTTCGTCGTCTTTCTGAAAGTGGAATACACCGTGCGGAACCTGGAGTCAACCCTGGTAGACACAGTACTAGCACCGAGGAAAATATTTTGGCAGCATTTGAAGCGGATCCTGGAACAAACGTCAGAGTAATAGCTCGAAATCTAAACATTTCCCAATGGAAAGTGTGGAAAACACTGAACTCTAATAATCGGTATCCGTTCCACGGAACAGGTGTGCAAGGTCTGGAAGAGCAAGATCCTCACAGAAGGATTGAATTCTGCCGTTGGCTCCTTAACGGCGACATTGAAAATGCGTGGTTCCTGAAATCAATCTTGTGGACGGATGAAAGTAAATTTTCTAGGGAGGGAATTACAAATTTTCACAATTTACATCAATGGGCCAATAAGGATAATAATCCGCACTGGAAAAAGCAGGTGACTTTCCAAAGGAAATTCTCTGTCAATGTTTGGGCGGGAGTAATTGGCAGAACCTTGATTGGTCCGCACTTCTTACCGGATAATCTGAATGGTGATAATTATTTAGAATTTCTGCAAAACGACTTTCCAGCGCTTGCAGAGGAATCTGATGCCCCAATATTTGATACCGACCGGGAAATCATCTTCCAGCAAGACGGCTGTCCAGCGCATTGGACATTAAATGTAAGAGAACACTTACATAATTCCTTCCCTCAAAGCTGGATCGGCAGAGGTGGGCCCATCCCTTGGCCCGCTTGGTCACCGGACCCGACCCCGATGGACTTTTTTGTGTGGGGTCGGGCCAAAGAACTAGTGTACACGAGTGGGAAATAAACACTAAAGAAGAATTAATACAAAGAATTAATTCGGCTTTTGCTACCATGAAGCTGGAAATGATGTTGAAAACAACAACTACAGAAATAAGAAAACGTGCCCGTGCTTGTGTTAGAAATCGCGGCGGTCATTTTGAACATCAATAAATAACACATGCTTTCAGTTAAAATATTGTTTTATTACTCTGCCTTCAAAATTAAATACGCCTTTAATTTGGTTAAAAGGACCTAATTTTAAGAATTTGTAAGATATCTGCATAAATGATACCTTAAAAGAAACAGCAATAACCAAGCATGTTTTTAAAAGTGTTTGAACAAAAACACCAACTGCCGTTTTTTTTTAAATGACGTAAAAAAACCGGTTTCGTTAATTATTCATCATTTTCGTAAACTTTAAAAGCCTGTAAAAAATATTTCCCACGATACAGATGCTTAAAACATGTTTTATTAGACTGTGTGCACATTACTTTATTGAAATAAAATAAAAAAATAATTGAGTTATTATTTGAGCTGGTCTTTATTAGCCCATACCTCTAAAATTATTGGCTTTTTCTCAAAAAATCTTAAAATTTAAATTAAAAAAATGTTTAGACTTCGTCTTAGACAACCCTACCTAAAATGCTTCTAAATAGTCTATACTATCTTCACATTAAGGCTTTGCATCGACCTTCCAAACACCCTGTATATTTGAAGCACTATTTTCGCACGAAATTCCAATATAAAATGCAATTTTAAGTTACTCCGAAACGTCCTAATAACAGTTACTCAAGCTATTTTTTTAAATAATAGTGTTGTAACCGTTAATCGCCGAATTTCACTGAGTCACTTCGATTTCTCAGAATTTTTTTAAAAAAATTAGAAAAAATTTATGAATATTATTTGAGATTGCTTCTTTTGATAGACAACTTATTGCCAGCCAAATAATTAAAAATTTATGAAATCCTTGGTTTCTTGGTAATTTAATCTTTATATGTAATTGTTTTATCGATGAACTTACTTATTCACACTAAATTCTCGTAATAAATCATTTATGAATATTATAAAATCAAAATTAAAAGACTTGGATACAAATTCATCGGAATGTGAGACAATTTTACGAAAAAAAGAGGAATTGTTACAGAATTGCAAGGAATTCTGTAAATGAATTGCTTTTAACAGAATTGCACTGCCTTTTAGGCCCCCTAAACAACAATGAACCGAAAAATAATGTAAACAATCACAAACTCTTACAATTTTGATTGATTTGATTTCTCGTGAAAATCGTATAATGTAATTACCGATATGATTAGTCCACATCCCTAATCGCGTCACGATGACAAGTGTCAAATTTAGCCTCTTATTTGGTGACGACTATAGTGGTTTGTAGTCTGGTTGTCTGTCACTTGTCTTATTTTGTTGCGGTTTTCAATCGATTGGGATTTACGTTTGTTTTTATTTTTATGAACAATTAGTAAAAATAAATGGGATAAATAGTATTTATCTCCCATAAAAAACATGGCTTCGTCTAGCAAATTGCCGGGCACGGGATTGGAGGAGGTTGGAGTGCCTGGACAAGCGTTTTTACGCGACGCTCTTACAAGTTGCACCGATCCTCTGAAAGCTATTGAGGAATTTCAACTTGAAAATGGGATTCTACTACCTTCGTTACGACCTATGTTGCCTCTATTAGATCTCCACGGTGTCCGACGACTGGACTTTCATACATCGGTTCTAGAAGAACTCAGAGAAAAACTCATAGCACACATAAACGAATTAGGATCGAAAGAAAATAAAGAACATGATAAGAAGCTAAAGGAGCTATTGGCGAAAAGCTTCCCTGTTGTTCGGGTGAAGGCCTTAAGGCCTGTTATTATGAGTATATTAAAAAATACACCTCATATTGATGACAAGTTTCTGAGAGTTCTAGTGAGAGATAGGGAACTATATAATGATACAGATACTGAAGTAAAGAGGCAAATTTGGCAAGATAACCAGTCCTTATTTGGTGATGAGGTATCTCCTTTACTCAGCCAGTACATTAGAGAGAAAGAAAATGTATTGTTTGATCATGAAAACCTGAATAACTTATTTTTTTCACCATCACCCAAAGTGCGACGACAAGGTGCAGTAGTACAGAAACTAGCCCACATGATTGGTAACAGTGTAAAACTGTATGACATGGTATTGCAATTTTTAAGAACACTATTTTTGAGAACAAGAAATGTTCACTACTGCACATTAAGAGCAGAATTATTAATGGCTCTACATGACTTGGAGATCCAAGATATTATATCAGTAGACCCATGTCACAAGTTTACATGGTGTCTAGATGCTTGTATAAGAGAAAGGAATGTTGATATAAAGAGATCAAGGGAACTACAAGGCTTTTTGGACAGTATTAAACGGGGACAAGAGCAAGTTCTTGGAGATTTATCTATGACTCTATGTGATCCTTATGCCATAAACTTTTTAGCAACATCGGCGATTAAAATTCTACAACACTTGATTAATACTGAAGGACTTCCAAGAGATAATACAATTTTGATCCTTTTATTAAGAATGTTGGCTCTTGGACTTAGTGCTTGGGTAATGATTGATTCTCAAGAATTCAAAGAGCCCAAACTTGACAGTCAGGTTGTTACAAAATACCTACCTGCATTAATGTCATTGATGGTTGATGATCAAGTTCGATCATTGCATAATAAACTACCTCCTGATGAGAGAGAGTCTGCTATTACCACAATTGAACATTCAGGACCTCCCCCTGATGCATGTGAAGCTTACATGAGAGAAAGTTCAGTATGTGGCGTGTTAGCCATGTACTACACGTTACACGCTGCAAAGTTTCGAGATCGTGGAGCATTATTACGAATTCTAAGCATTTTAGGTAGTTGCAAAGATGGACGTGCTTATGAAGACCCATTCTTACATGCATTAGTTGCTCTGTTAATACAATTACCTGATGAATTCCAAGGCGAGGACTTTAGTACGGTTTTGTTTGACGAATTCTTCTTTGCTGGCCTATCAAAGGATAATGTAACAAGACATTTATTAAAGTTGTTGTGGTATATTCATCCGAAGTTACCAGAGACAAGAGTACAGACTTTAATGAAGGCGTTACAACCAGGAACGCAACACAATGAGTCTGTCCATAAACTTTATGAAACTATGCAGCAAAAAATGAATGCTCAAGCTGAACCGGCACCGAGCACTAATGAAATGGAGTATTTAGATTCACCTTTAATGAGCGTTCCTACACCAGCTCCATATCATATGTAATTAATTTTTTAATTTTTTTTATTCACTTCACAAAAGCACATATTATAAATAAAATTACTATTAATATTATATTTTCATCTGTCTTCTCCAGTTATGACTCAATAACAATTTAATTACACAGATAGACCATCTATGCAGTGTCTGTTAATGGCAAAAATCTTCATTTTTAATAAAATTACCAAAGTATAGGTAGTAATGAAAGTTCTTGCAATATTTTCAGGTGAGATTCGGCCTCATCCCCTCAACATAAAGAGGGTGTTGTAGAAGAAAGTGAATCATCTAAAGTGTAAGGCTGAGACTTTTTAATTGTAGTTAGTTAATTACCTATAATTATGTATAGTAGTTAAAAGTCAGGACAAATATCTTTATTGTATGAATAGCCTTTTTGAACAATTTGACATTTCTTTGGTTGCATTATCGAGTATTCTCATGAAGTAGGTATAAGTGAATACATTTTGGTGGCGATACTGCAAAGAGTCCATACAAATTATTATAATTACATTCTTCATACATATGTAAGTATTTTTTATAGCAAATTGCTTTCTCCTTGTGACAACCATATGACTGTAATTTGATTAAGGAAATAACAAATCATTCTATAAAATCACTGTAAATATTTATTAGTACCAACTTAAAATAAATGCTTTAAAAATTATGTATTCGAATTCACTGCACAAAAATGTTAAACCTCTTGCTTTTATATTAATCTATGGACAGAAATGAGCAGATACTTGGCAGTTCCAAGGAATTAAAATTAAAAGTTAAGTTAGGTTTTTTAAAGTAGTAATGAAAAACATTTTTGTGAAGACATTGGCAGCGAGAAAAGGCTACTTATGAGAGCAAAAATTACTTTCCAACAACATTGAAGTGTGCTGAAAAAATTTATTCTATTTTTATTTTAATCTTTAATAAAATTGGGAAGTTTCTTGTATGTCACTTTATAAATAGTAAAGGGTATAACAGTAGCAATATTTTTTCTTATAATGCATTATAATGTTACTACGAGTATATCCGTATCACGCCGCCAATGCGTTTTGTATTGTGAAAGTTACGGGCGATGATCGCGTCTATCAGGGATATCCAGTGAGTGCAGAGACCGGAGGGACCTTGATCGCTCGAAGAGAGAGGGGTCGGTGTAAATAGGCTCGCTACCGTCGTCAAACGCGGTCGCCAGTCGTCCAGCCGAGCCTACTTCTTCGCCGACTTCCGCAAATGTTCTACCTAGACCACTGAAAGGATTTGATTATGCTGGTTATTCTTGGCATCTATAGTTCGATATTTGAATTGCAAAAATAAGGAAAATCGGTTTGATTGCTTGTTGGTGAGTTTAGAGCTTGTTCATTTATAATTTTTTCTAACAAAATTTAGATACCTAAATTGGTAAAGCCATGCCGTACTTAAATTTTCAACCTTTATGATGGTTGGTAATACTTTATTTAAAAAATAGCTTCCATCTCACATATCATTACTGACACTTGAAGTACATATTTCTCACCTCAAAGAGAAAGGTTTATGCAAATGCGAAGCAGAAAAGAGCGATGGTCGCGTGCCTCTCGGTCCCGGGGTGATAGGGCGGAGCGCTGGCGCTGGACTTGACGCCTGGATGTTTTTGCGTAGCACACGCCAGTAACGCCTGAAAATTTGCATGTTTGTTTATTTCAGAGTCAATCCGTGACATTGCTCCAAGTATTGTCGGTAAAACAATTATGTATCAACAGTCTCATCATCGAGTACTTAATATTCCATTTCGTCTCTAGATTTTAATCGCCAATCGATTACAATCTTGTCAACTTGTCAAATAAAAAGCAAAGCTAAGAAACAAATCAATTTTGCGAGCAGTAAAGCTCCTTGTGAGAGTTCGTCCAGCGTAGTATTGCCACCTTACCTATTTCTGGCGCCAAACAGTAGAGTCAGTATTACTGTGTTCTGGTTTTGAAGGGTAAGGGTGCTGGTGAAATTACAGGCACATGGGACTTGTCAAGTTCTGTCTCAGCGCGACGAGCGCAGTGGCAGTGCCTCTCATATCTTTGCGATTTAAAGCTCTGAGTGGCACTGTAACTGTTATGGACAGGGGTGTAGCTTACCATCTGAGGCGCACCACTTATTCGTCCTGTCACTTGATATTATAAAAAAATAATAATAAAAGTAGACGTAGTTTCTTGCTTTGAATTAATTGGCTTGCGATTGGAGGTTTGCCGTCTGCAGCGTTGATTTGTTGACATTTAGTCGCCTTTTACGGTACCTACCCACGGGAAATATAGGATTTTGAGATTGTCTTGGAATCGATATGAAGACAAAATGTGGTAATTAGGTATGAAAATCAACCTAACGTGTCACTTACCTGTAGACATACAAAGCCGCAAGCAACATAGCCAATAGCAATGACAGGAGAACACATAAAGCGACAAGTAATGCCCTGTAGTGATGCGGAGACACGCAAACTCCAGCCGCGGCCACGACTGGTGATGAGTCTGCTGGTCCATTCTCTTCTAGAAGCTCATTGCGGTTATCGAAGACCTACAATGCCAAAACGAGGATTTTATTATAGCTTTCGGTAAATTCGTAATATTAATATAGATATATATATATATATATATATGTATAATATGATGTACGATAATTTCGATAAATTGCCGGAAGTACTATACGTGACACCTATTATATGTATAGAAGAATTCAAAGTAACAAATAATGTTTCAGAAAATGACTCATGATTCAAAATTATGCACCTATACTGTCAACGCTCTTTGCCGGGAGTTCATCTATTCCTTTTGCTATTTGCTAAGCTCTTAGAGCTGTTACACACGGTTACTTTTAGCAGCAATGCAAAGGCGATATAGTCGCTAGCCGGTAGACTACCGGCGGATATACAACCGCAGGATAGACAACCGGTCGAAGGTGATGTAGTCCTTCCTACACTAGCACAGCCAAATAAATATAAAGCTCTGGCCACAGGCGGGCAGTACGGTAAAAAAAAGATTACGTCCTGCATTATCCAAAACGCAAGATATGAACGGCACAAAACACAATTGGGAGCAGCCTTTAAGGGAGAACTACCTTAAGGATTCTTTTTACGTGCAGATCAGTGGCCACCGCAGCTTAGGTACTTGTTTTAAGAGCTAGACCATATTTTTATTATAAACAACAGGTTTTAAAAATAGTGTCAATAAAGTAAGGAACGGGATTAGCTACTAACTCCGCTTGCTAAGAACTCTGTTTTGGGGTTAAACTTTACTGATAGTACCTACAGCAATGAACTACAATAGGCTGACGATAAGAATAGTGGGGAACTTCACAGGTATCAAACTATTTTCATTGTAGATGATCGTCTAAATTGCGTAAAAAAATTGTGAAGATCATTTGACTAGCCGATTCTATGTGAGTCTTGCCATTATATCCCGAAGGTATGGGACATATATTGTCACAATAGCTATTAGCTGTCGTAAATAGTTATACCAAATCTAAGGTAGCTGGATTATTATGTGGCAGTGCCACCAAACAATTTCTGTGTGTATCACACACAGAAATTTCGCACTCAATTTGTCGCTACCGATTTTTTACGATTATCATCAAAAATTCACCACTAGTAGTTGTATAGTCTAAAACTCATTCAAAGCCTGCAAATCTTCATTGTTCACCTTAGGCTCTGTCAAGCTTAATTAATTATATCCGCTGCATTTACGTTGTTAATGTTTCGAGTTGTTTGCGCTACAATAGTGCCACGACCAAACTCATATTCAAAAATTACATAACTAAAATGAAAATAAGTGTATTTAATCTAAATTTGTACAAGTACGTTATTACGTACTTGTACAAATTTAGATTAAAAATTATTATTCCCTATTAAGTATTTGCTACAAAAATTATGTTGTACTTGTGTTTTTAATTATACAATTAACGTATTTAATAATTTAGTCATTTAAAAATAAATATGAGACAACCTATATTTTGGAGTGTTTAGAAAATAAGTAGCAAAAAAAGAAATTGTATACGCATTGCGGACGAAGTGGGTATATCCATAATAAGAAAACGTGCATACTTTAGGTAGATTAAGTCCGTCAATTCCGATCACTGATTATTACCCATTTTAAACATTTAGTTTCTTTAAGGTTCTTTAAATTTAAATGCAGATTACCTACACGCATTTTAAGGAACACATGTACATATATAGTATTTTCCCTTCATTCATTTTAACCCTAGAAGGGTAGATGACGTTTTTTTGCCCACGGTACGTAACTAGGCAGGATAGTTCGGTTATTCTGACTCCCGTTCCGAAAAAAATTCAATAAAATTCGTATTCTTTTACTGATGATGGAGTATTGAATGAATTTATGACAAAAACAGATTTTTGCGACAAACTTGTATCAGTTTAAACTAATCTTCTATTTATTATTAGCTGAAATTAGTTGTCATACGATACGATATAAGGAAACAAAGATCTTTGTTTACTTAGATCTTGGTAACCCCGCCACGTCAACCATTTCGACACAAACATCCTTGTTTCACGATCTATGTACGGTTTGTTTGTACGGTTGTTGTATGATCTACTTTGAAGGACTATAATCTTCTATATAAAATATGTGTAACGTAAATGGTTTAGAGCTCGCAATTGCAAAAACGTAGCGATTGTCGCCTTTAACAGCTTTTCAGTTTGGTGATCAGCAATCGCGATCTCAACTTTTGTTCATATCCCTGTGTAAGTAATGATTTCTATGTAACATAACATACTAACTGCATAGTGTATTACAGTCTTTATCATTAATAGAATGATCTAGATTGTAATCCGCTTTCTGACTTATTACTTACCTCAATCATCTTTCTCACATGGCTAGGCATCTCTACTTCTTCCTTAAGATATTTATCGACAGCTGCCTCTTCATATTGCACTTTGTAAACTGTTCCTATGTTTTTGTCATCATTATCTTTACTAGGTTCCTCAGTAGCAACTTCTGTGTCGTTTGTTTCGGCTCCTATGGTAAAGTTGACATCTCTGCGACGTCGTCCAAATGATGGTTCTGATCTTCCTGTGTGGCTTGGGCAGTATGCCTAAAAACAAAATCTTTAATTTTATTATCTCTATTATTATCGTCTAAACAGTTGGCAATAACTGCAAGGCAAATATTCAACTGTAAAATTGATACAAATTTGCCGTAGTCTTGTTTACAATTTTGATAAGTTTACAATACTATTACTAAACATACAGGTGATGGTCACGTTCCCACTGCATGTTCCGATACAGTGTTATGCGCATTGCCTTATACGAAACCGCAGTCTTTATAAATAAAAGATTACATTCATATATGCACAACAGTTAATCTATTGATTGATAACCTTCCGTTGACCTCTAGTAACTGAATGGAGTTCGATAAGTTATTATTTTCGCATCCATTGACGTATTTCACTGTTTGTTAGTTAAGTTACTATAAATAGTATGATAAGGTTTGTTGAACAACGGTTTTAAGGTGTACGGTTGACCTGCCACCTATCCAAAAATTACTGTATATTTTATACACCAGTTTCAGTAAACTTAGGTCTATTTATTTGTGCAATCAACGTCAATGAATAGAACCGAAACAAGGATATATAAAAACATATATATTCGAAGGAAATATCGAACACTTCGCGAAAGATATCTCAAAAAGGATATAAATGCAAAATATCTTACGGGTTGACATCCATCGCGACAAGTGCGAACAGTAGCCTCGAACACCAAGAAATTCGATTCTGGGATTTTAAATGCATTGAATCTGGCTTCGAGAGAATCTCCACTTCGTCCTTTATCCAATTCAGGGAAAACGTCGGGATCGACTGGGCACCTAAAACATATCAGTATCGTGTGAATGTTATATCAAGTTCTGTTGTTTATTGCTCAGTTGCCACTTGCAACTTGTTTATCTAAAGATCCACTTTAGATATTGATTACAAAGACAACTATAGTTAAATACAGTGTAAATACATTACACTGTAAATACATATTTATCTTTAGTACCATCAGTAGTTTGCTAAAAAGAATTGTTTGAATGTCCTTTTTAATCGTTCCATTAAAGACATAGACTGAGCAAGTCTTTGAAACTTACCCGACTCTATCAATGAGCTGCACTGAACGTCCAGAATAAGGATCTCTTGCAATGACATTAGTAGCGAATATATCTGCGGGGTAGTTATAACCATCTTGGGCTTCCAGCCTAAAGGTCAAAGGATCACCAACAGCAATTGTTGTAGTTGGACGTCCTTGGTAAAGGATCAGCAGCCGGACCTTTGAATTTAGAGAACTCTCCTCTGGTAGATACTCGATGGGTATTGGACTGCCCGACCTGTCAATGAAGTCATAGCCGAAGCTACAGTTAGAGTTGAAGATAATGTTTCTAATTGAAACTAGTTGACTTTGAAGGAATTCAATTATCAACCACGATCATACTTTTTCTTTTGTGACTTTTGTCAGTCCTAGTGTTCTAATCCCATTTCAGATGTCTACATGAATCCATTCAAGGTCTACAGTTAGTAGCTGTTAGTGAAATAACAGCACTCAAAAACACAACACATAAAGCCAATGTTAATAAACATAAGTACTCAAATAAACAACAAATAAGCTAACTAAACATCACAGCTGACGACCATTGAGTCAAATTCGCCGCACACAAAACTCAAACAAACGAAACCCAAACAATATACTTTGCTCACCGTTAAGCGAAAACATAAACTCAATAGTGTTTCCATGTTAAAGTTAAATGTTTTGGAAACACTCAAATACAGCATACCGTAACATAAACCAACTTAAATAAACATCAAAAAGGCGATAAATATATCTAATAGTAAATTCAGCTCTTGAAAGTCACGCAAAGGCAATAACTGTTAAACCTGCTTAAAAAGGCACGATAGTAGTAGTAGTAGCTTATTTCAATAACCACGAAAACTACATTGACATGAACTCTACCACTTGTCAAGATTCTCCAAATAGGCACACAAACTATTCAAAACAATAATTCTCACCCTGCTCCAATATAATTTGAGGTTACTACTGCTTCAGCTGGTCCTCTAAAGAGACAAGTTAAGTTGAATCGTTTGTCCCTAGAAGTTTGGACATTGTCACTGAATTGAACCACGACAATGTTTGTCATTGTCTCGCCATACTGCAACCAAAACCGTTATAACTATTACATTAACTACATCTACTATACGAATTAAGATCAAGATCATGGACTTAAGACTTACCCGTTGTGTACCACATTCAGGATACCCATGGGCCCCAGAAATACGCAAAACATTAGTAGTACCGCCATTGCCACGGAAGAAGCAGCGGTCATAGAAGCCATACGTGTACATACGACCATAGAAACCTTCTGGGAGACGTAGAGTGAACTCCATTCCATCTTCATTGCATACTTGAGATACTACAAAAAGGTTGCAGAATTACAGTTAGTATTGTGAAAAACGTACGCAATATTAAAATTAATACAAATATTATGCTAACATACATACCATCCAAACAATCATCAGCAATACGGCCAAGAGCTCTCTCATAGAAATCGTATTCATTTGCTGTATTATCAAAATGTGCTGGATTTGCAGCATCTAATTCCCGGGTATCCCGATCGCTGAGTTCACAATTGTCGCGAGGTTCTCCAAAACCAACTTCCCTAAATAAGTAATTAGTTTTAAATATTTCAACAACATTAAATGGCAGCAGTTTATTTAAGTAATTAATAATAAAATACCTGTAGTTGAACGACCGACATATGAAATCACGCGCTTCAGTGCATTCTCGCTGGCACTGTGCCAAAGATTGGGCTGTAGTAAAACGACGTACAAATCTTCGCTGCATGCGTTGTCTTCCTACTTGCCGGAAACTGTCATCCTCACATCGAGATCCTTGCCATGGTCTCTGACCGACACCACCGATAGGTGGCCTGCCTGGTCCGACTGGACCAATTGGACCATCATCATATCCACCGTAACCTCCTAGAACACGAATAATCAAAATCATTAGTTCACCGTTTTGCTGAAACTGTAATTGTTATCAAAAGTTGATTCTTACCAATCGGTCGATCTACTGGTACTGGGCCAACTGCCGAAGGATAGCTTCCACGATATCCACCAGGTCCTGGCCTGTCTGGTACTGGAGGTATAGGACGTACTGGTCTTAGACCGAACGTTGGTCTAGGTTCCACTGGATATCTATAATACCGAGACGCATTTAGAAATAACACTATACATATAGAAATGTTATTACAAAATATGAAGCCTAAGAGAGTACTGGACTTTACCTATCTGGGCCAACAGGTGCTGGTCGTAATCCTCTATCTGGTACTGGGTAACGATCTGAACCAGGATAATCAGAGCCATAATATCCACCACGCCCATAGCCTGCTAAGAAAGATCCAAAGACACATTATATCCGTTGTTTATTTACAAAATGCAAGGGAAAGAAATTTTGGAATATGTGATTGTTATGTGCTTACCGGGATATGACGATCCTATCGGAGGATACTTGTCATAAAGATCAGGATAACGGGAGCCACCCAAAGGTACGGGGTCTCTGTTGACACCCACAGGGTAACGGCTGGATGGATACCGTCCCCAATCATTAGTGCCGGGATAGCGGTCCTGGTCGTATCTATCAGGATAGCGGCTAGGGTACCAGGGTTTTGATGGGTATCTCCCGCCACCTCGGATCGGATATCTGTCTGCTGGATACCGATCCATGGGATATCTATCAGGGTATGAGTCAACTGGGTATCTGCCGATTGGGTATCTGTCAACCACTGGATATCTATCGGCAGCTGGGTATCTATCTGCTGCTGGGTATCTATCAGCTGCTGGGTATCTATCAGCTGCTGGATATCTGCCAATGTCATTAGACGGATAGTCGTAGAATGGATAACGTCCACTGTCGAGAGGGTAACGATCTCCAATTGGACCAATAGGATATCTACTACCGGCAGGAATTCTGTCAGGATACCGGTCTACTCCTGGAGGATATCTGTCGATGGGATATCTATCTAATCCGACGCCTGGAGGGTATCGATCGTCAGGGTATCTATCATCTGGGTACCGGTCATAAGGGTCTGCCGGGTAGCGATCGTCAGGATAACGATCCGGTCGGTTATACCGATCGTCATCCGGATATCTGTCATCATCTGGATAGCGGTCTGCGCCAGGAGGGTATCTGTCTCGATCCCCGCCATTACTACCACCTTTAAAAACGGGAAAATGAAGTTAATAATACACTATGTGATGCTGAATGTTTTTTTAACAAACTACTCATGCAATAATACAGCTACATATCGCAATTATCGATATCAACTACTAAACATGCATAAGCTATATAATACAGAGTCTAGCCTAAGAGCTACATAATATAAGTCTAACATCTAATACGTATTTCTACTTTATTTTACATGCTTTGGAGCATAATTTACCACGCCATACTATGAACAATATATGATGATAACAACATCTAGGCGACCACACTAAACTCAACCAATCCACTAATTGCAGCTCGTTAATTTGGAATCCCAAAACATCCATTGACGACGTCACTAAGTTTTGTTTCGAAAAATATACCAACGTGTACTAAAACCTCAAAAAAGTTTATTAACCGGAATCTTGGACTGTTTTCATTTCGTAACTAATAAATACTTAGTAACCTCATCAATTGCAAAAACTCGAATTCCCAAGATCAGCTCCAGTCTATCATGCATCGAACCTGTACTAGTAGCAGGACGCCCCCAGGGTGTCTGCGCACCACTAGCCGCTCCCCCTGCTTCCGTTTCTCCACTCACTAGCTGATCTGGATCCCCAATTTACCATTTTTTTTAATTAGCTTAACCAAATATTTCATTTTACGATATTTCCACCTCAATAAAAATAATGTAAAATATCATAAACTGGAATAACGTCGCAAAGTCACTCTTTAATCTTTTGACGTCAAAAATGGTAGAATCATACGATGCGATATTCGACCTTTGAACCTTAATCCTTTTATATAATGTAATGTAAACACTATAGTCTAATACTCTCTAATATAGCCAACCCTTGTAACGCTAGCAAGTACTGTTATTAGATACAATTGAAGTGTTCTATTTTTGTATCAAGAAGGGATCAATGTCGGCTCACTCAAGCTCGTTGAGCCAATTGAATGCTATTATTACCAATAAGGAACATATTTTTTTTATCACACTACCACTCTGTCGAATTTCACGACTTGCAGACTTCACTTCATGACTTGCACGTGATATATGTGGATACATAGATAGATATTGTATTCATGAAGATAGTCGTACGATTGTTTTTCACTAAACATTTGCAGTCCATTGCTTGGTAATGATACATTCTAGTTAAAACACGACCCTAAATTTTCAAGAATACGATTTCAATACATACGCATAAGATTTTCGTAATAATCGAAGTCAGGATCATAGAGTAAACGCATTCCATCCTTCTGGTTGTAGCGACTAAGGCGGCATGTCCTGGCGCGATCGCTGTACACCGCGGACCTATCGTAAAGAGCGTAAAAATAGCATTATGTCATCGAATATCGTTCAATGAACTTCATATCATCTGTTCAAAGTAATCCAGTTTATTTTTCGACATTTTATTTAATTGGCGACTTCTAAATGCTTTTATAACAATATCTAAGTACGTATTTGTATGATTTTAATTTTTAAGAATTACAACAACGTTCTATATCTACTTAATCGAAATTTTATATTCCGTTTATGCTACAAAAGTAAATTCTAACCTGCATTGGAAACTGGTCTGTCTAAGACATTCGTCCAAGCATTCGCTGAGTGATCGTCCTGTAATCTCTGAATGGAATTCTCCGGTGATTCTGCTATTCCTGTATCTCTGGAAAGCAGTATCTGGTCTCCTTCCAGGCGAGAAGAGATGTGAAGTCACGCTGTTGTCAGGATACTCCGTACCGCGAGCTGTCACCCGATGAGAGACTGATCATAATCGTGAGAAAAACCTTATTGTAGCCTCATGCATCCTTAAGGTTGTCGAAGTTAGTTAGTCTTGTTAATATGGTTAATCAGAACACTTTTGTTTAAGAATAATAACGCCAAACGAGTGACAAACAAAGTAATTGTCGTCAGGTTAGTGTAATTTGTTTAAGTATTAATACCGAGTAAATTTGAAGAATACTTACGATTGTCGAGACAAACAAGATCGTAGAAGTGGTGTGTGGCAGATGCACTAACAGTCACGTCATCCTTTTGTGATACTGAATCTTCCTCGGAGAGTACGCATTGACGTGTCATCATGTCATGCTCAATTGACCGACAGAAATACCTAAACAAAATTTGTTTTCATCGACAATCATGAACAATATAAGCGTAAACATTTAAACGTTGCACATGCCATCAATCACTTACTTTTCAGCTCTGACGCACATAGATTGACATTCTTCCAAAGTCATATTGGAGAAGACATCAGCTTCGAATGGACCTCCTAGACGTTTATTTTCCTCTTTGATAAAAACTGCTAGACCATCGCAACGGCGTTCGGCTGGAAACGGAAATATAAACGAAAAAGGAACGCATTAATTTGCTCCTAATAATTTTTGTTTAATTACAAACATTCCGATATACTAACCGTTCAAACAAGTATTTTCTAAATAGTCAGCGTTATGATCATCCTCCAATAATTCTGGGTGGGTTCTCCTAGTGAATCTGCTTAGAGAACATGTCCTCAATGCAGAATCATACGTAGCAGAACGACAGACAAAACTGAACTCATTCAGACACTTGTCCTCGCATTCAGTACGGTTGGCAACCATCATCTCTTTGAGATCTGAAGGGGGAAGTTTCAAGCGTTTTCGTGCGTGACGTTCGAAAACATAACGGCGCGACGGACATTCTCGCTCTGGACGATTTGCTGAAACAATCGTTATGCCGTTAATCGTTATGTGTGTATTACATTTTGACAATAGCCATTGTATCTATGTGGTAAAATTATACGTTATTGATGAAAGGGATACCGTTATGGAATACATACATGTGAGACAGATTTCGTTGAAATGCATGCTGTTTGGTACGATCATAAGCGTGCCAATGCCTTCTGGTGCGGCCTGTTCACGAGTCAAATAACAAGTGGATTCTTCGTATTCGGGTTCAGGGCTAAAGGCAGCAATACGTGCTCCAGGCTGGAAGTCGATGGAGTTGCATGTCCTTACCAAGCCGTTAGAGGATCGGTCCCGTAAGCATAGGTCTTGGCATTTTTCCAATACGCGAAAAGGTGGCGACGTGTCGTGTATCTATAAATAGAAGCCTGATTAACATGATGTAAAACGAAATTAGATTTCATTTGTTTGATTTATTGGTGGCACTTAAAAGCAATACGTTCCCTCTTTTATTGTCGGCTATTCGAAAGCAATAATTTGTTTACTCACAACGTCATCGTCGAATCCGTGAAGTTGTTGGTTTGGCAATCGCTCGTACATAACTCGACCCATTCCTTGATTGCAGGTGGTTTGGGCTAAAACATTTGTATTTCATGTCTAAGTATTTAGTATATCTTTAAAGTTAATAATTATCAGTAGTTGAAAAATTTTAGCAGGTTAATATTGGAAGTGAAATTATTTTTTCGGATCTAAAACTTGCGACTGATTTGAGATGACCATCTCAGTCAACCGTGACCATTGCTTATTTGAAAAACAAATGTGTCTACGCGAATTTAGCTCCGAAAAAATAATTTCCTTTCCAATATAGTAGCAATCGCGTATACCTAAGAACTCGACGTAAATAGCTTAAATATTAATTTAGATAGATAGATAGATAACTCGTTTATTCAGCACAAATACAAACAGAAACAAAACATTTATAATCACAGAGTATAACATAGAGCACATAGAACATTCATTATTAATTTTTCACAACACATTTATATAATAATAATAATAATAACGCACACACTCAACATAGCCCCGCACTAGGGAAACCCTGTGTCGCGGGTGCCATGGACACACATAGACAACCACATATTACACCCAAACTCACGAGAGAAATAAATGTAGGCCATACAAATATTTCTCCCGGCCCGGGAATCGAACCTGGGACCTCTGCGTGGCAGTCCGGCATGGTAACCGTTCGGCCACAGAGGCAGTAACACATATTGCGATATATATGTATATTTACCATCATATACATATATAGGTGTTCTTTGAGCTTTGTTTGCATTCTACATTTTTCTAAACCCCTTACAACGGTCGTCTAGTAATCTACCATACAAATTAGAAATAAATATATATAAACCAAAATTACCATTAGCCATGGTGAGCATGGTGAGCGCAGTGAAGGCGTGCATGACGCGCCCCCGCGGCTTCATTTTCCGGCACTGCTGGCTGCTGGTGGTCACCACGCGTCACCGACCACACATGTGGTGGCCTGTTTAATCAAAATTTTATTATTATTTGGATACGTCTACCGCAACATAGTCCCAATATTACATATTCGTGACACATTAGAGATGGGAGTATAAATTTAATCTTATATTAGATACGAACTTATCAAACTTAATTATTTAACACATATCAAACGTCGTGGCTAGTTAATCCTGTTAAGTATTCGTTTCAATATTACTCGGTTTGAAAAACTCTTTAATTTTCGATTAAAAAGACCCCATCCTTATGTTTTAAGTTAATAAAACATTTTCTACGCTTTTATGAAATCACATATCAACCATATAATTTAAGTAATTATTAAACCACGAAATATTTATAGTACGCACCAAAATGTTTGAGGTTGCACCAGCTCTATCTAATACTTAGTTAACGCACCTGAGTGGCTTGGCATAGACTTTCTCCAAAGTAAGACTACAAAAATAAATAAGTCATAGATACTTAGGTACTACTTAACTAAAAAAACTTTAAATTACTACAGTAGGTCACCAGTGAGAACCGTTTAGGGATATTGTACCTTACATTACGAACAAAATAACATAAATTAGACAATAAAAATTTTTTATTGTTAGATTTTTTACGAATAATCACAGTCGTATAACTAAAGTTGTTTAGGTATTGTAAAGTCAAGCTTTTTTGTAACCTGCCATACGGACCTACTAATAATCATTCGAACCTACGAATTCATACGAACCTACTAAGAATTGCCTAACTCAAAGCGCTAATTTATTTTTTTAAGTGACGTGCGGGGATCTGAGGGGCGCTGCCACTGCGTCCGTTACCCTGAGACGTAAGTTAAGTCCCATGTGCCTGTAATTCACCAGCATTGTTACCCTTCAAAACCAATAATGCTCACATTACTGCTTGGCGGCAGAAATAGGTAAGGTGGCAGTACTTCTCTGGACGAACTCTGCTACTAAATTTTTGCCTATTTAGCAGAAATTCAAACAAATATCTGCATCATTAAGCCTGGCAAAATTGCGTCCCCGTCACACATATTGTCATTTGCAAAATTATCATCATCGGTCTGTTGCACTAAATGAACGAGTAGAGATGACAGCATCTGGAGCAAGGCTGTATGAAATATGCTCTAACATTACAGATTTTCAGTTTTGACCTTCGTCATTCCGATTATTATGGAAGTCATTACGTTGCCTGGCTTTTACGAGACCATACTTCATAAACAATAATATGTTAAAATGGCATATCGAATGGTGCATTTAAGTCATGGTTAATGATTACCGCGTAAATATCGGCTTAAATTTCTAAAAATAACATTGCACATGAACTACGAGTAAGGGCCAGCGCAAACCGACGGACAACAAGCCAGGGCATTCATTTTATTAACATACAATTTATGCCATTTCAATTGAAATAATATGGATTGCTCTTTTGAGATCAAACTCGGAGCCACGCGCCAGCGAGAAATGCGCCACGATGGCGCATTCTCGCTGCGTTGCAGAACATCGAAATTTATACCTTATTTCAATATCAATAGCATAAAATATACATTGATAAATTATAAACTTTAAATAATTATGTATAAAAAAGTCATGTTTTTCCTGTCCACCGATTTTCGCTAGCCCTAGTCACTTGCACTTACACTATAAATATAGCTTCTGTGTACTTGTATCATAAAAATCCATGGTAATTACTTGTTTAGCTTTGCAGGTTGTCTCGATTATGATATTTATAACATTTTTATTAAAAAAAACCGACCTCAAAAGTTCGTGAAATTACATCTTATTTTCCAAGTTTTATTGAAATCGGTTGCCGAAAAGTGCGCGAAACCGAATTCATCCCCTAGTTTACCCTTAGAGGTGGAATATTTCCTTCAAATTGAAATGGGACCAATACTTTTTTACTTTCCAAGAAAAAGAGAATCATCAAAAACGGTACCCAAAAAACTTTTGAGTTTTTGTATATAGTTTATATATAGTTTGTGAGTTTATACAAAAAAAATAGTCAAATTAAGAACCTCCTTCTGTTTTGTAACCCCGTAGAGTTTCTCACTCACTTTTTTCAAAGTAACCTGCCTAACGAATGCGTAGAGAGTTTATTCGATATTACGATTTCAAGTGTAATTTGCTTATCTACGAAATAAAGATTATTTATTTGAATATACCATAAAAACCGATCCTTCGATTTGGCTCGAATACATACAACTGTGACGGTGTGACCTCCTTATACCGTCATTCCACCTTTTTGTATCGCCTCTCTCCATTCGTATCGTATCGTTTTTTCTTCTTCTACTCATATTTAAATTTAAAATTATTCCATTTTACCTCGCATTCTGATTTTGTTTCTTTCCATCGTCACTCTCTGCGCGACCGCGGTAGCGAGCATACCATTATTTATCTTTTTGAATCGTTTACTAGCTATATTTATACAGTTTACATTTTAAAGATTATACTTGTTAAAACCGATTAAATAAACCGATTAAATATCTATAAACTGGACTTTCAACGTTTCAATTGCTAATTTTACTAAATAAGATGTTAGAGGCTGCGAGGTTGCGGAGGCTATTACTGCTATCCAGGCTACACACCATTACAATCCACCAGAACGCCCCCAGCACCAGCAGCATCTCCACACAACAAGCTTGACACCTGAGATTTAAACTTAACTGTACACCTCTTGCAATAAGAACGGTCGAAAGCATGCAATCATGCAAAGCAAGTCGTTAGGTCCAAAGTCTACAGATAATAAAATAGCTAATCTATAATTTTGTATGTACTTTGAAGCCTTTGGGTCCTAAGTGCACAGATAATACAGTGATTCAAAGGTTTTTATAAAATAATTTTACCAAAACGAAAAGAAAACTTCTTTATTAATTTGATTGCTTCTATGGATCTAAACGCGTATTTCTTTTTCAAACAACCAACGTTTCGGGCCCATGGTCATGACTGACTGTCAGCCATTTCCTATGTGTAACAATCGCGAAAACCTAAAAACTTGATTGCTTCTACTGAAAAAAATATCTATGAAACAAAAGAGAAGGCGTATAAAAACAATAACGAATGAACAAAGTACGCATCCACCACGCACATTTTCATGCATCAAAAATCAACACAAAGTATAATTTAGTGTACTATTGAAATAGCATAGCATGCTCTAAGTACCGAGATAACTACAATAACAGTACAGCAGGGCTATTGATCGCGTTCACATCATTGAAATGGATCCGTCATCGACACCGTTAGCCTGCGCAGACGCGTGAAATAGGAACCAATTAGATCTTATACAATCATTTCCTCAATGTAATTGTTTTTTGGAGACCATTTAGTTCCCTTGATGTCACTTTTTTCAGGGACCAGGTAGGTTATTTGTTTATTAACCGACTTCAAACGAGGAGGTTCTCAATTCGTCTGTATGTTTTAACATTTTTTTTGTATGTATATTACGCGATAACTCCGCCATTTGTGAACCGATATTGATGATTCTTTTTTGTTGGAAAGAGGGTACCTCAGAAGTGGTCCCATTTAAATTTGAAGAAAATATTTCACCTCTAAAGGTGGTAAACTAGGGGATGAATGACTTTTGAGGTCGGTTTTTTAACCGGAGCTTAGGTTATTTTTGTATGTTATATAATATTGTAGTCCAACATTTGCGACATTTGCAGTAGTTTCATTCGAATTTGAATTAAATATGCCACCCATAAGGGAGGCAAATTAAGGGATGAATCCGGCTTATTGGATTTCACCTGCTTTCCGTTGTCCGATTTCAATAAAACTTGGCAAATAGATGTAATTCCACAAGCTTTTGAGATCGATTTTTTTTTACAAAACCTTGGTGAGTTTGACTTAGATATACATCACCATCATTACACAAAGTATTAATAGCTTCCAAATAAAATGTCAACAACATGTCTGCGATATTATTATGAAGACATTAAAAAACACATTAAATTAGTTGTTGAGACATGATTTATTTTAAAAGCATTAATAATTTATATTTTACGCACGAAGCGTTACGCTTCCACATTTAAAATATGGCGAACGGCTATGGAGTGGAATGAAATTACCTGCCTGCAGACTTGTTCCCTGAACGCTATAACTTGGGCCTTTTCACGGCGATGGTCGACCTCATCATCACTTTCCATCAGGTGATGTGGTCAAATGCGCACTTATATTTTATAAAAAATCAAGTATGTTAAAAATTAATAGTAATTAAAAATAGATCTTCTCATCACATTACTTTCCCAATAATAAAATGATTGAATTCATTAAAGTAACGTTTTTGAGAAATTTTATAAAATCATTTAAAAAATAATGTACGTAGGCACCAGCCACATGTGCTATCTGTCGGTGCCAAAAATAACTAAATTAATTTATATAAAATTGAAATTATTATTTCTTATATTTATATATCTTATTATATTAGTAGCAGTAGAGCTCCTTGTGAAAGAGTTCGTCCAGGGAATTACTGCCACCTAACCTATTTCTGCCGCTAAACAGTAAAGTACCGTAACGGTAAGGGTGCTGGTGAAATGACAGGCACATGGGACTTGTAAACTTATGTCTCAGGTTGACGTTCTTTGCGATTTAAAGCTCTGACTGACAATGCAACTGCTATGGATAGGCGTGGCGCTTCCCACCAGGAGCACGACTTGGTCGTCCCGTTACTTGGTATTATAAAAGAAAATATTGTCATTTTCTCGAAAATGAAAACTTTTTTAATTTCGCCATTTTTAATCCACGACGCAAATAGAGGGGTAACAAGCTTAAGACTTCAAACTTATAACTACCCTCTTTTTGCGTTCCTCATGGACTGATCTCCTTTTCTAATTGAAGGCTTATTTAATCGGGACTGTTCTTAGCTATGAACATTTTCATGTTTAAGTTTTTAAAGGTCATCACCTCTTTTCTCAGTTAGTGTAGGGATCTCAGCCATAAAATGTATTTATTTATTTACTGGTGAAATTACATGCAAATAGGACTTGTCAACTTATGTCTCTTGGTGATATCAGTGACATTGTGCCTCAGA